ACGTATATACACATCTATACATATATACATATGTATACGTATATACATATATACGTATATTCATATACGTTTACGTATATACATATACGTAAATGTATATAAAGATACTTATAACACCCTGAATTGAGTACCATTTGTCACATAAAAAATTAGAGACAATACATGGACATCTTAATAAGGTACACACAAAGACATATACAAAGTAATTAAAATATACACAAAGTCCATACTGATTGCATCCAGTCAAGTCAGGTTCAGTTTATATTGAAGGTCAGTTATTGTAAAGTCTGATGGCGCAATACAGGAAAGACTGCCGCAATCGTTTGGTTCTTGCATAGGGAACTGAGATGTTATGACCGTTCCTCAGTGCTCTTCCTGTCTCTGGGCAGGAATACATATACATATATATGTATACGTATGCTTTGATACGTATATGTATATATGTATATGTATATCCGTGTATATGTATATACGTATATATATATATGTGTGTGTGTGTGCGTTTGTGTGTATATATATATACCTATTATACATATATGAACATATACACATATATGTTATAAGACGATATATGTCATACTATATATACAGAGAGAGAGAGACAGAGAGACGATAGATATAATCATTATACTGTACATATTTGGTGGAAAACAAAACCGATACATAACCAATCGCGTTACAGTGCCTTTTACATGACTATTCAATCCCTTCGCCATATGCCTCCACGTATACATGCCACTCCAGACCAATGCATATCATTTACAGAAATATCTTATTTATATGACGTTCCTCCCTGTATATTCTCAGTACCCAGAGCGGACACGTTGGTGTTTTTTCTGAGCAGGATGTTTCGGCTGTTACGTTCCCCACCCCCCGGGCGGACCCCCTATATCCTGGGGATCGCCTTGTTGATGTTCCTCCCTGCGATCACCCTTCCCGGGGAAGCTACCGATCCTGGAGCAAGGTGAAAATTTTTGATTTTTTTCTATTTTAAAATTCATTTAGGAAGCTTTACCCCGTTCCGTTGGTGGCAAGAATGGACATAACAGGTGACTATCATCCTTTTCAATGTCAAACCTGAGACCAGACTGTAAGGTTTGAACCACTCACACCGGGAAGGACCCCTGCTGTTTTTAAGTATGGTAGAATCTTTAACGTGCTTCAATGTACACGTGTGGCCCTCACGGAACATTCGCTTTACATCCCATTTGAGAGGACGGCCCTGTTCGAAGCTTGGTACTCATTTTCACCCGAGTTAGGAAATAGGTGCCTTTCCCAAGGATACAACAGTGGAGCCTGCCTGAGGGATTCGAACCCTGAACCTTTAGATTCTGAGATAAGAACGCTGACCACAAGTTTAGAAAACGTGGAAGAAAAGCCGCCTGTTGTGTTGCCATTGGGTGTGGTGCCATATCTGAGCTAGAAGTGTGCACTGAAATGAAATGTGTTGAACCTAACCCAAATAAAAAAAAATTGCTACTTCAACGATCATAAAGAAAGGACCTGTTTGAAAAGGCCAACGAATTCCATCCTAATTTCTCCACGTTTACAGACAAAAAGGAAACTACTTTCCTCTTAAAATTACAAAACCCACACATTATAGAAAAGGTGGGATCATTCGTCGTCCACTGTGTCCGAAAAAGAAGTCAAACCCAACAAAATAGAATAATTTAGACTTAGAGTAACCAAATACTATTACTGTTATTTATTGTCTGTCCTTTTTATTTTCATGTTGCTTGTATTTAGCCTTCGAGAAATTACTTGCAATAAACTTTTCAATTAATTTATTAAGATGAACTAAACTCAAGAAGTAAATTTGTGAGAGAAAAACAACAATGAGACCATGAAATATTTGCCTAGCTTGCTATCGTGGCACATTTCTACATGCATCATAGTCATTTGTTGTTGTTGTTTTTTTTTGGGGGGGGGGGCGCCAGACAATCAGTCCAAAAAATGATTATTCATTGACTGCAACAGTTGTTTTCTGAATATGCTCTCAGTACCAAAATGCACATACGCTGTGGTAAAGAAAAAGCACACAACAGTTTTGCGCATCTTTTTTTTTCAAATTATGATAACAGCAATTCTCCACCGAAATCATAGTTGATTTCTGCAAAGCTGAAATGATCAATTATCACTAATTATCAGTTTTTAGTTTTATTTTCTCAGATTTTGTGTCTTTGGTGTTTTATTGTTTTTTTATTGTTTTTTTGCGATTGCTCTTATGCAATAATCTGATATCTGAGTATTTATATGCTTGTTTTCGCGACCTTTTTTAAATATATCTGAATGAGATAGAATAATAGACTTATCTTAGTTAAAGAATCGTTCGCTCTGTACATCTGTAGTGTATTTCATTTTTATTTTTGTATTTTTGTTTAGTTTTAGTTGATTATTTATTTATTACAATTCACCACATACACATGTACATGTAATGCATGGTGGAACAGGTAGACCTAAGTACACCTTTTCAAGGCCACCATGCCACATTATGTCAATATGTACTTCTGTTCTCTTGCATTCTGTATCGTGTATTTTGTATTTTCGTTTTGTGTCTTGTTAACAACACACAGATTGTGTGTTTACCTTTTATTCATTCATTCATTCATTCGTTCATTCATTTACCTTTTATTCATTCATCCATTCATTCGTTTTCTTTTTACCTTTTATTCATTCGTTCATTTCTTTTTTTACCTTTCATTCATTCATCCATCCATTCATTCGTTCGTTCATTCCTTTTAACCTTTTATTCATTCATCCATTCATTCATTCGTTCGTTCATTGCTTTTTACTTTTATTCATTCATTCATCCATCGATTCGTTCATTCCTTTTTTACCTTTTATTCATTCGTTCGTTCATTCCTTTTTTACCTTTTATTCATTCATTCGTTCATTCCTTTACACATGACCTGCAGCACCAACGTCAACGCTACCGACGCGCCAAGCATGAAGGTCCTGCCGACCATCAGAGTCATTTCCGGGAACAAGGTAAGGTTATTTTTAACACAAACTGCGACAATAGTTTGGAGAGATTGCAACAAAATGGACAATATGTATTAGATTATCAGGCATGGTTCATTCTTAGTCATCAGTATACAGCAAAACAAAACAAACAGACATGGCAAAGTAACAAAATGTATGATAACACCAACAACATCATGATGAGCTGCAATGTGCATAAATTTCGCTTGGGGCGTAACCTTATGTGTGACTGTTGTGTGGAAAGATGGCGGTTCAGCACTAAGGACAGCACTGATAACATTCTTTTGCTGAAAAGAACTATTATCAGGAAGAGTATCTTTATACCGTTACCACTAAAAAAGCCACCAGAACCAACCTACAATACGAAACAATTTCCGTCAGCGACACAGATGTTAGAAAAGACTATGGTATAGGTTTTATTAAACTTACTACATCTACTAGAAATTAGCCAGAAAAATTGATCTTGAAAATCCAGTTTTATCATCCTGAAATCGCTTCGGTCACCTTCAATCCTTCCCTCAACTATTTGCGCCCCCTGTAGGTTGAAGTGAAAGTGCAGGACGGCAAGAACATCACGTTCGAGCCGGGGGACCCCATTGGAAAAATCTACTTCGGGGAAACCTCCATGGACGACGTCACCAAGGTACCACGCACTCACGCCACCTTGCGGCATGAGTTGATATTGCTGATATGACTTGTGATTAGAATTTTTTACCTGCTTTATATCTATCTTATGATAAGATGATATCACTCTATGCCACAATATTGAGATTGAAACCCCAAAAGACTGGATCTGGATTGATTTCCAGTGATTTCTTCAGCAGTTGATTGTAATTTCTGTTTGTTTGGATGCCTTATTTTTCACAGTATTGAATTCTGAAACGATTCGATGCTCAATCCGAATCGATTTTTAGTGTGAACGGGGTCTATTTGGCCTTTTAAATTTTGGAGACGCGTCGACGATCTTGCCACAATATATTTTGCTTTGGTAAAGAATTGCGCATACTTCATTCTGAAAGTGCATAATGAAAAAAAGACGTGGCACATTCATGAATAAAGGAGTCGAGAAGCGTTTTCATGACATGTTTGTTTGCTTGTTTGTTTGTTTACTGTGTCCAGGCGACTGACGCAATGTCCAGCAAGGTAAAGGAGCTGCATGAAAAGACCGGGCCGAAATCTGAAACCGTAACCATGGTGAGGATGAAAACAAGCCTTCATTTACAGAATATTTTGTTAGTTATGAAAGCATAAGCCTTCTGGTTACCCCCTACATGTGGTCCGACACCCGTATGTTCCGAAAACCCTATTTTCTAACACCCCTGTTCTGACACTTCTATGTTACGACCCCCTATGTCCCGACACCCCTTATGTCCCGACACCCCTATATTCCGACACCCCTATGTTCTAACACCCCTATGTTCTAACACCCCTATCTTACGGCACCCCTATGTCCCGACACCCCTATGTTGTAACAGCCTGTTCTGGCACCCCTATAACGGTTCCGACACCCCTATCTTACGGCACCCCTATGCCCCGACACCCCTTGTTCCGACACCCCTATGTTCTGACACCCCTATGTCCCGACACCCCTATGTCCCGACACCCCATGTTCTGACACCCCTATGTCCCGACACCCCTTGTTCCGACACCCCTCTTCCGGAACATGTTCTATGTTTGGAGGAAGACCGACAATCTGATGTTACGTTATTCACAACTATAGACTATATTATATCATGTTTTATGCTACTTCTGTGTGTGTTGATAGATAAATCTAATGCTTAGAGAAATTGCATTTCTGTGTTTTCAAGGGTGGCACTACTCAGTGACCTACCACTACTGGTTTTTAGAGTGGTCCTGGGCACCTCTTATTGTCAAGTATGAAATCCAGATATTTTTCAGACGCCAACTCCAACTTTTTTTTATTTTTCAGCTGACCCAAATGAACGAAATGCTAAATCAGCTTGGCTTTTCTACCCGTAAGCCGTAAGAGGCCGACTTAAGCCAGCATGTGGAAAATGAGTTCCACTGTTCTCAAGTATAATCCTGAACAGAGTAACAAAGCTCTGTCGTAGTGTACGTGCGTCAGTTGGTTAGTTGAAGAGAGCTGACGAGAAGCCGGTATTTCTTCCAAGGAATATCATGGCTACATTCTGTGCCCTGAGTCACAGTCTGAAGAAGTAGAGGAAACAGTCGTTTGTACAAGACGAAGGAAAATTTGTACTGATTAAACTGTTTTAAGGAGCCACGTGATTCAAGTGTTGTTTTTGATAGAACTTCTCATGCTGTGTGTTGTGTGGGGAGGGCGCATGTTCACAGTAAATAGAGACAAGAGTATAATTTTACAATACACTTTCAAACAAGTATGCTTATAAGCAATGAGTACACAAGCGACCCCCCCCCCCTGGCACATATAGCCAAATATGGGCTCCCGAACTTGGTTGGTGGTCGAGGGAAGGGTCTGAATGTGTGACAAGGGCTTACGAAAAAAAGCTGGAATGAATTATTAAGATAAATATAACTGAATTGATTTACCTGCCATGGTTTCTGTAGTCCTCCTGTTAGCTTCCTCAGAGGTAGAATGGGAAGTTCTACAAATGACCCCCCACCCCCTTCCCGTCCATTCTAGCTCATACATGTACGTTTACAATATTCACATGCAAATCTAAGGCCATAGTAATTAAATTGGATGGTTCTCGAATTTTCAGAAAATAATATGAAGCAACAGGGCGAAAAAAAAACAGAATACATTTTCAACTTTTACTCTAAGCACTGAATTCATAGATAAAAAAATTGAGTTGAGTAAGAACGTGTTTATCATTATTTTTGTGCAAATTATGAAAAGTTAAATCTGAGGAACAATTGATTAATTTGGTATGGCCTAAATACAATTACCACTTGGGTCAGAAATGCTCAGCAACATTTTAATGTAAAATTGATAAATTAAGGTGTCTTCTAACAAGAGAACAGGACAATGACATCACAAAGAACACGACAAACCTTTGCTGCATTTATGATCCTTTTGTAATCTCATACCAAACTGCTCTTAGAGGTACATGTAATACAGTATATCTTGATCAGATACATTCTGTACATGGATCTGCTAACAAAATAAACATCTTTTTTCAATCTCTGCTATAGTATTGCCATCACATTTCGACTCAACGTTGCATATGTAATAATTTTCGGTAAGGCTACACCAAGTTAATCAACTGGTTTTCTGATTCACCCTCTTCACTTATTTCTGACTTGGATTCTGAATCAACTCCCAAACGCTCACATTTTGGTCCTAACTGTTGAAGACAGTCCCTGTCTTTAAAGCTTTTTCTCAATCTATCAAAATGAATGCAGTTGTTTCTTTAAAAGTTCAAAATTCATTTAGATTGGCATGTTGACTTCATGGCTCCTATTGTAACAATTTGGGCTATCATAAGTTGCATAGGCCTCTTTTTTTACCTGTTTAAAATCCAGGAACCAGCAAATTAAATTGGTGTGGCCTAATTTTAGTTTTCTGTCAGACCCCATGCAAAGGTAAATTTATATTTCTTGGCCAGAGTCGTTCCAATTTTTTTTTTACCAGTACAGAGGACAGAGATATTAGTTATACATAACACAAGAAATGCCAATCTTCTTATGAAATATATAATTTTGAATATTTAATGCTCAGAAACATTTGCCGATACACAATGTATCACGTTTCAACCTCTATGTAAGAATTCCTACATAATGTATTAATACATAGGGTCTGGCAGAAGACAATGAAGCAATATTAATGTGCATATGAAATACCAGTATTAAGATTCATCTTAATGTTACCAAATAGGACTGAGCAAAACACAAAAGTCTATAACCTTAATGACAGTTTAATATCTGCAGGTGGCTTTATGTTCAGTATTAAGTCAATCTGTTGAAGTTGGAATAGACATTTGGAAATAAAGTTTGACTTTCAATTATTCTATTTGCTTTCAATTAGTTCTTATGGTATTTCACAAAATTTATCATAACTGTGAAGGTTAATAATGGGGTATCTAAGAGTTTAAATGTAAATGTTGAGCAATTATGTATTATACCCTTGCCATTCGAATCACTCCTATGAAAGAAAAGTCTTAAATGTGTAGACTAAGTGATGCTTTCAGTCAATCCTAGTCCGCTGGAATATGGTGAAAGCACTAAGGAAACAGCAGGCCATATCAAATCAGTTCAGAGGTCCTAGAAATCTTATTGAGAAAAAAATTTACAAACAGTGAACATGTGTATGATAATATACCAGTGTTCATGGAAAATATATCCACCAAACTGAAAATTTGGCCATTTCATGGCTTCATAGAATATTCTACTTTGAGACCTTGAACTAAGGTGATACAGCCTGCAAAATGTTAACATCTTTTGGTCCAATCAATGAATCTAATAAATTTTTGACTTTCTAATTTACAAACAAGATTGATCCTGTCCCTCTTTGTCCTGAAAATTGAGCTTGTTTTCTTCAACCTTGCTGACATTGCCATCTAGTGATACAGTTGTCTGCTTATTGGCTTCTTCACTAAATTGTGTGTCTAACTTATGAGATACTGAGCTAGGCTTCGTTTTGGATATGCCTCCTTTCGTGGAGTCTACCTCAGTTCTAAGTCTCTTCTTTTCTGAGAGTTTTTTTGGTGTGGTATTGGTCTGCTGACTCTTCGCTGACTCCTTTTTTCTAGTTTTGGGCGAGGCGTGTTTCACAGTTACTTGTTCTCTCAGTTTTCGTTTGCGCCTTGTCTCAACTCCCTGTTTGCCAGTACGGGCCTGCCCTCTAGTGCTTGGAACTGGAACTGCACTTGTGCCAGTCTCCTCCGTGAAACCTTCCTTTTCCTCAATGCCTTTTGTCACCACCTCAGCCTCTTTTACAGACTCCAATGTTGTGAGGGTATCGCAATCAGTTTTTGTACTATCTGGTTTGGAACTAAAATCTCTCACCCCATCATTTTGCTCCCCTGTTGTCTGCTTGTGTTCATCTGTTCTCATCTGACTATCTGTCCCAGTGCTGTCCCCTACCTTGCTCTTTATATCTTTGTCTTGTGAAGGTTCCTCTATCTTGTCTTTCTCATCTCTCAATTCCTCCTGACTCATAGAGATCATTGGCTGACTTGCAACAGATTCTGCACTGGCTTCACTTGATCTTTCTGGACCCTTTTCCATACTAGGACCAGATATAGTGTTTTCCATACTGGGACCAGATAGAGTGTTTTCCATACTGGGGCCAGATAGAGTGTTTTCTGTACTGGGACCAGATAGAGTGTTTTCTGTACTGGGACCAGATATAATTTCTGCACTATCGGGTTGTTCTGATGTCGTTCTTTGTCTTTGAACTTTTTCGTCCTGCTCCAGTGCTGCTTGTCGGTTACTGTTCCTCTCGTGCGTGCTGATGTGGTACTTGTAGGACTCCTTGATGGCGTATTCCTTCTCGCACCCCTCGTACGGACACTTGAAGTTCTTCACCCCGGAGTGTCGCGTCTGGATGTGCTTGGAGACGTACCGTGCGCTCTTGAACGAGCGTTGGCAGTGCGGGCAGGTCCGTGCAGCGAGGTCGCTGCTCTGTGGACTGTAGCTACCGGGACTGATGTTGGCGAGGACGGCCGATGGCGGAGCACCGTGCACGTTCACCGAGCTTGGCGTACCCGGGGAAATTGGCGACATGGGAGGGGCTGTAACGATAAAGGGGACGGATCCTTTTGTTAAGGAGATCATCTGAAGCCTGTGTTGTGCCCCTGCTGTACTGGGCACCGCAGGAGACGGTGTTTGATGCTGCTGCGGAGGAACAGGCATGAGAAGTCCTGGTGCCGTCATGCGAGGTAAAATCTGGGGCTGCCCGGGTGTACCCAGATTTCGCGAATGGTCCTGCGGAATCAGTAACGGTTGCACGGGTAACGTCGAAGGCATGGAAACTGGGGTGCCGACGATCGCTGTCTTTCCGTCGGTCGCCATCATTTGAGGTACGATGGTGAGGGAGGGTTGCATGACGGCTCGAACGCCCGGGGAATTTGTCGGCAGGGCGGGCTGGATAGGAACGTGAGTTTTGGCCAGCCTGGGAGACAAGGGCTGTGCCTGGGCATACATGATACCAGGTAACTGCTGGAGGACTTGTCCCGATGTCTGTGGCAGGATGTAGTGTGCTGCTGGGGCCATGGAGGTAGTGGAGACCTGAAGAGGCACCATGCCTGCAGCCAACCTCATCTGGGGCGCGTACGCCTCCGTTTCTGATATGGTTCTCTCTCGAGTGAGTCTCTCAAACAGGTGTTTCTCTCGCCCCAACTTCTCTGCTTCTGTCTCTGAGATGCTTCTGATTCTACCTCGAACTGCAGCCTCCTTGTTGGACATTATAGTTGTTTGTGTTTCGCTGGTTGTTTTGCTACTAAGCGGACTAGTTTGAGGCTTTGAATCGCCATGTTGTATCGGCTCCCTCCCTGCTGTTCCCTCTGACGTGCCCACCCCCGCCTCTCCTGTGTTCTGATGCGGACCAGTTTTCCCAGTCCCGGGGCTGATCTGAACAGAACCACTGCCGTCAAGCTGAAGAATACGCTCTTGTCTCTCCACTGCATAGGCGTGACCCTTCGACCTGAGATGTTTGGCCAAGTGTCCAGGGATACGGAACGCGACCTTACACTCCTTGCACTTGAAAGGTCGCGGGTCGTTTGTGGAATCAACGACTTCGACTTCGTTCCACTCCATGAACTGAGCGTCGGCTTCCACCTTGAGGTGGTGCGTCTGCGAGCGCTCGTGTTTACTAAGATGTCCTTTGGTCCGGAACGACACGGCGCACTCCTTGCACGTGAAGGGTCGTTCCTCGACGTGGGCTCTCATGTGCTCTTTCAGCATGCGCCCCCACTGGAAAGCACGTTTGCATAGATGGCATGTATGGACCTCTTGAACCTGCCCATCTTTTCCCACAACAGCTTTTGCTTGGCCTGAGTCACCACCCTGTACGTTAGCATGCATGGCTTCCTGTACTTCCCCCTCCACCTGTTTTTCTCTCTCATGCATATCAGCATCTTTAATACTGCTGAGATTTTCAAGCTGTGGAATCGCATCCACCGTCCCCTTCCCTGATTGACTGGGCTTCTCAGCTGTTTCAACTTTGACCTTTGACTCTGTTGGTTCATCCTTGACCTGGACTTGAGTGTGATGCAGGTCAGCCTGTCTGTCTGGTCCAACTAATTGGTAAGGTACTTGCTTACACAGTGGATTGTTTGACGATGGCTTTCTTTCCATAGTGTGCTGCTTTTGCAGTGCCTTTTCTTCAGCCACTGTTGCTGGCATACTTGACATGATTAGGTGTCCCTTTTCAGCGGATGAACGGACTGGAATGGCATCTGGTTTTTGGGGCACTGCTGTCTTTCCAGCCTTCTGCCCTGGCAATGGCTGGTTGGCTGAGATTATTTGAGAGGTCACGTAGCCATGTTTGTCCAGCAATGGTGGTGGGCTAAGCAACAATGGGCTGGGAAGTGGTGGGCCTTGTGGGAACATTTTCTGTGGGGTTAGGACAGGCGGTAAGGGTGAAGACACCTGTGGTGTCAAAGATGTCGGTTTTTCCGGTGTTCGCTGCTCTGGAGGCTGTGGAGGGGGCAGCTGGAAACCTGTTGGTGGAATTACTGAGGTTTGTGGCTGTTTTAGAGATTGTGTTAACCCCCAAAACCCCATGCCAGGCTGAGTTGAGCTCATCATCAGTGGTGGTGGTACAGTCGCTGGTTTAGTTCGAACCTTCAAGGCTTCAGCCAGCAAGTCTGGTCTACTACTCTCTTGCCCTTTGGCAGCCTCCTCCTTCCCCTCCAGATCCCTCACAGTCTTCTGTACCGTCTTGGACAGCTCTTCTGGCGCGGGAAGACTTGCTGGGGGTGATGCTAGTGGAGTTGCATTCTGGGACAAACTCACCGACTTCCCATAGATAGTGCTCAGGCCTATACTGGACACAGAGAGTGAATGTGGATACATAGAGAACAGTCCTGGAGCTTGTATACTAGACGAGCTCAAAGAGACACTGCCTTGAGACATCCCGGAATCTCCTGTCTTAATTTCGACAACTTCTTCTTCCTCGTCTTCTTCCTCATTTTCATTCTCGCTCTCTGTTTCTTCGTCCTCTGCAGAGTCTGTTGTCTCAGCGTCGGAAAACTGGTGTTCCTCGACTCCAGCGTCCTGTCCCGTACTAGAGGCCGTTTCCTCCCCAGTGTCATCTACCGCCCCATCCTCTACTGGTACACCAGTCTCCAGGCACTTTTTACTGTGGGCCTTGGACTTCATATGCTTGGTTAGGTTACCTTTGGTTTTGAAGGAGAAGTTACAATACTTGCAGTGGTAGGGCCTGACGTCGGTATGGGTTCGGATGTGCTTTTTCAACATGCTCGGTTTCTTGCAGCGTATGCCGCAGTCTTCGCACACATACTTTCCCCGACCCCTACCTCTTACGTACACGTACTCCTCGTTGGATTTATAACCGCCGTCAAAGATTTTTACTCTCAGTGGCTCGTTCTTGGCTCTGATGGCCTCCTTTAGCTTTTTCCTACTGTCTGATACGTCACTGTCGGCTGTCGTCCCCTCAACTGCTTGAGTTGCAATCTCCTCTTTGGTTGGTTGTGGCGGTTGACCTTTCACCTGCAAGGATTGCTGTGTCGCTTTCGCCTTGTGTCGAGAACTCCAGAAGCTGGAGGGAGTCAGGATCCCGCCCCTCGGCTGCGTTGAATTCGCTATCGTTGTGATACCTCGCCGATACTTCCGCTTGTTGACCTGCGAGTTGTACAGGGAGAGGTTGCTGCGTACGTCAATGGAAGAGGGAACGATGTTCCACTTAGCGTACATGGAAATGGACTGGTTTGTCCCCTGCTCCAGGTGGATTGGTTGCGGCCGGTGGAGGGTACAGAACGTCAGGAGTGCGACGGGCTGAAGGCTGGCCATTACCTCCACGGTTTTGCCAAACTGGTCGGGTTTGATGGCGGCTCCTTGCATCTGCGCCCGAGCCATGGCCACCTTCTGCTGCCGCTGTCCCATCCCGATGCCCTGCATAGATGGAGTGACGACCGAGCTCTGATTGGTCGGCACCGTCTGTCCGCCAAGCGGTACTGCCATTTGGACCAGCATCCTCTGCTGCCCCCCTGCCCCTGGCAGGATGTTGGCTTTGATGATATTTCCTGTCTGCTCCAGTTTCATGCTTTGCATTTCCCTGGGCGGGGCTGGGGCAGGGACGTTGATGACTACAATATTCTCCTTCCCCCTCTCAAAGGTAACGTACGGCACCCTGTGTCTTGTCGACGTGTTAGGGTCGGCTCGTGGAGGATTGCTTTGCCTGTCGTGATGAAGTTCTTCTGGAGGTTGTGTTCTTGTCTGTGGCTGCTGTACCATGCTGTGTACGATCTGATCCTCACCTGGTGACTTTTTCAGCTGGTTTTGCATGTTTGAGGGCGAAGCGTGTTGTTGTGAGAAGGGTTCGGCACTTTGCCCCAGCTGTGAGTGGTGTTTGGGCTTTTGTAACCCTTGTGCTGTCTGATGAGAAAACTGCACAGCCAGCTGTCCTGTGTAAGGTGTCAGCTGCCCAGGAGGACCCTGAAATCCTGCTGTCTTTCCTGTTGCATCATGTCGTTGTGCTGTACTCTGGATAAACGGCACTGTACCCACTATTACTCCCTCCTTTGTACTTTGTGTTGAATGACTGACAGATTGCGGCAGGGGTTTCTTCTCCTGGGTCACAGAAACCCTTGGTGGTGAACTGAGCTGTCCAACATCTCTGGAATGCTTTTCGCTTGTAGCTGGAACTGTCAAAACTTTGACCAGCGTCACTGCCTGGTGCGACTGCTGTCCTGTAAGGTGTGACAAGGCACTGCTGCTAGAAACCTTGTGCTCGCATGAACCAGCAGGCTGGAGGAACTGATCTGACACAGCTGTGGGAACACGCCTTACTTCTAGCTGACCTTCATTGCCCTTGCTGCTTCCCTTCTCTGAAACAGCCGGAGAATGCTGCTCAGGTCTTGCTGTAGAAGGTGAAACTTCTTTGTCTCTTTCCACTGCCTGTGCGGAGGATGGTACTGCAGAATTAGGATCTGCTCCAGGAATGGAGACATCTGATTTGGTCATGAAAGCGGCTGGAGGATCCTTGATGTTTGCCAGGCGGTACAGACTCTGTAAAGGCTGTAGGACATCTACCGATACCTTCTTCACATCAGCAGCTACCATCTGCTGTGATGTAGTACTTTGTAACCCACTTGTGCCCTCCCCCATTGCCAGCCTTGCCTCTGGATTTGGACTGTGCATTCCTGTATAGAGAAGTTTCTTCTTTGGGGGAAGCTTTTCACTGGGAAGCTGAGAGAAGGTGTCGCTCTTTGCATACAGCATTGTCTTCTCCCCTTGCTGGTCCTTCACCTCCTTTTGTGCTGCAGGTTCCAAGTTGCTGTGAACTTGTTGGCCAGTCTCATTGGATGAGGGCTGGCTTGAGGTGGTTTCTAGTGGAGTGGAGCTCCCTTCGGATGGTCTGGCTGCCATGTTGGTCGCGCTGGTTGCATAATGTGGCGAGTTCTCCCTAACATTCGGAGACAGGACCCTTCCTTCCTCCAGGAAGATTTTCAGTGGAGGTCCTTCCATTGTAGACTGGCTCGCGCCTTGCTGCAGGGAGGCCATGGCCTGGCGCTGGGCCTTGGCTTGCATCTCTTCGTACAGTTTTCGCTTCTTTGGGCTGTGGAGAACCCGGTCCTCCTTCTGTATCATCCTCACTGAAGTTTGCAACTCCAGTGGATTTGCATAAATGGGATGTTTTGGGAGATCCCTCTCCGTGGACTTCTTCATCTCTGTCTGAAGCCTCCCTCTACTCAGCAGAAGCTCCTTGATCATACTGCTCCCTGTCTCCGGCCCACCTTGTGTACCAACACTGCCAGTCACTGCTGCCGTACTAGTGGAACTGACAGACGCTTGAACGCTATTTACATTTATGGGGACAAGAGGACCAGTGAACTGTGGCTCCGTCATTTTCCCTTGTGGGCCGCTCCACTTTTCCGAGGTCTCCTTGTCCGTGCCTTTCTTGGTCATTTGAAACGGGAGAATGTCAGGCCTCGTGGTCAGCTGGACGACTGGACTCGACCCCCCAGATGAACCGTTGCTAGGCGGGGTTGCAACAAAGCCTGCTGTGACCAATGGGGACGCAGGTGCTGTTGTTGCTATGGCAACCAGGCCCATGGAAGGGGAGGGTGACAGTGAGAAGGAGATGGTTGTGACTGGCGTCATCGGGGGGATCCCAGCCCCCAGAGTCTGCATTTCAGACAAGTTTCCCAGCGACCCTCTCCGACCTTGGATGCTCTGTGCGTTCAGCTGTTGGCTCACCTCTGGGCCTGTCTTCTTCATCAGGTCCAGATAGCCCATGCTGGTCGGTTTGGGTGACTCGATACTCGACCGGCGAGATCCCGACATGCGGCGCGGCTTCACGTTCTCCAGACTCTGGCTCTCAACGATCGCTTCATTCTGGTTGATGAGTTGCATGATGCGGTCGTGGAGGCTCTCTCGGTCCAGGCTCCGCTGTGACTGCTGGGAAGGGTCTTTGCTGGTGACGTTGGACATTGAGACGGACTTTGAGCCAGGTGTCAAAGGTGAAGACAGGGTTCGCACAGCGTGTTGCCTGGGAACCATGGATGTCGGTGTGGACTGCTGACCAACGTCTGGAAGCGAGGACATGGACAAAGACATCATGTTTCCACCGAAATTGCTCGTTTTCAAGGGAGGGAGGGGGGAGAGGTTGGAGATGGCCATCCGACGTTGTCGTAAGGCCTCCTGCCGTGACTTGTCGGCGAGGTTCTCCTGGGACTTTGCCGCAAGGCGCTCGCGGACGGTTTGCGCCAGCGTCTGCACCGCGGGTCTCATGTGAACCGGCATGTTGACCGGAAGCCCGCCCTGCGCCTGCGACACGGCCGGCTGAATCAGCACAAACTTGTCAGGATGCATTTGCACTTGGCTGCCCTCCCTGCCTGGCATATAGTACATCGGCTGTGATTGGTTGGGCTGTGTCGAGGGATAAGGGACTCTCATCTTGGAAGCCAGCCCCTCTGAAAGTCCCGGATCATCTGTGTTATTTCCTACTGACGACACTGACATGTGGACAGGCATCGCGTAGGAGCTTGGAATTTGCATATTGCTTACTAGGAGTTTTTGTGCATGGTCGGTGCCCTCGCTGACTTTCCCCTCGGCCGTTTCGTCTGAGTCGTCCTCGCTGTCTGTCGTGTCCACACCGTCATCTATGATGTCATCCATCGCTTCAATCTTCGAGCCATCAGGGTTAGTGACGAGGCCAGCTTTGAGAGCGTGTGCATGGGACTTGCGGTGTTTGTACAGGTTACTTTTGGTCTTGAATGCGAAGCCACACGGTACACAGGGGTACGGCCGTTCACCTGTGTGAGATCGAATGTGTTTTTTCAGCACGCTCGGTTTGGCACAGCCCCTTACCACAATAAGGGCAAACATGCCTGCCAGCCTTCTTCTGCTTCTTGTCCTGTTTGGCCAGCTCTTCTTGCTTCATGGTTTCCATCAGCTCAGCCTTGCCCATCATTTTAGATGCTCTGTACAGCATGTGGCTCTCGGCACCTCCGGATTGCTTTGTGTACAGCAGTTTCAATGCCTGCTGCTCCACTGTCTCTGGCCTTACCTGATACTGCACATCCCCCCTCCCATCATGCACTGCTCTCAGAACACCTGTTGGCATGGTGGCCACAGCTGGGTTTTCTACAGGAAGTGACCTCTGACCTGCAGGTTGCTGTGGTGGGTGGGTGTGGGCTGGGGAGGGAATGGAGGTTGCCCCGAGCCTGGGGAGCGGTCCATCTTATTCAGCTCGGAGTCTGTGATCTGTAGGAGGGCCTCCAGGGCCTCGTTTCGTGCCTGCACCTCAGAGTCGGTCATGTTGGTTTGTTCTTCTGGCTCCTTCTGGGCTCCGGCTACCACTTCACTGTTGTTGCCTTCTGGGCTGCTTTTCATCAGCTCCTTTGTTCGTTTGGAGCCGGGCTTCTCTGACACCACAGTCTTTGACTTTGGTTTCTCAACGATCTCCTTCTCCCCTTCCTTACTCGACTTGGAGTCCTCGTCGGCCAGTTCAAACTGGTCCAGCGAGTTCTCATCGTGGTTGTTGGCTTTGGGAGAGGGTAATTTCATTGAGGCCTTCGGCTGTCGCTGACCCCTACCACGACCTTTGCCCCGACCTTTGCCCTGTGTCTTCTTGGGTGCCTTCCTGCCATTCTGACTGCTTTTTGTGACCTCTGAGTCAACTTTTGGGGTGACTTTCTTAGGTTTTGTGGCCTGTTGACTCTTGTTGCCGTCCTTGCTTGCTGACCTTGTTCCTATCCGTTGTCTTTTGGGCAGTTGTGCGTCGACTTGGTCAGGCTTCCCAGCAGCCTTCACTTCTTCACCTGATAAACCAAAACAGATGTTACAAACTTTTAAAATCACATCAGTCCAAACCAATGGTAAGACTCTACATTAAACAACCCGATGACATTAATCATGTCACTAGGACTAAATAAAAACATGAGATTAAACTATTAACATTTCAATGTGAAATGAGCCCCAAAATTTGGTGACTGTACAAAATTGTAACAACTGTTGAACATTAATTCCAATGTCAGAATCCAGTACTGTAGTTGAATTTTCAAAAGTGGTGCACTTGACTTGGTTCATCCAAAACGCATTGGATCAAGCCCGGGTGATACCCTACATGTGATACGGATAGTTATTACATGGGCTAGAGCACCTGCATCAAACATTACCCAGCATGTGGCCCAGGTATGACACAAATGTAGTTAGCAGGAGACTAGAAATGAAATAGACCTTTGCCCTTCTTGACCTCCTCCTGTCCTGTGTTTGGAGCGCCGGTTTCATTCACCTTCCTCAGCAACTCCTCAGCCTCTTCTCTTTGCCCTGCAGGACAGAAACATGCAGTTTGTTTGTTTATTTTAGTCTGTCAATAATTTCATAATGTGAACCAGTCAGAATTGCCCTGGGTGCCAGACAGTCAACTATACAACTGAAACACTTGGTTGCATTAAAAAGTCTCCTATAAATTATGTTGTATAATATTCCGATTTCAACAAAAAATGACGCACTAGCTACTCTTCCTGGAGTCCACATTAGGGTGATGAATTTATTTATCACTGCGTGGCTTGTAGGAGATCTTATTAAAGTCACTGTACTTTTGTTGGGAATGAAAAATTCTCTATTTCTCATGACCATTACGCCATATTGTACCTGTGGGCTGGTATATTACAGTGGCAGTTATAGTGGCTTACAAATTCAGATAACTCTCAATAAAACCATTAAAAAACACTGTCTAAACAAATTGAAGTTCACACCTCACAATCTAGTAATCATTCAACATGATCGCAAGGCTATATACATGTAGTTGTTGTTTTTGTTGTCCTTCTATTCAGGAGCTACATCCTGTTTACAACAATCCTTTCACCTGCTGGCAAATGTGTAAACAGCACGACCTGGTGTGTTCTACTTACTGTAAACAATTGATGCTAAAATTAAACCAGTACCACAAAAAACCTCTCTACACCCCTACTTTGTGGAGCCGTTGGTACAGTCCCTGGAAGGGGATATATTTGGCAACAACAGTGGCCAGGGTAGTGACGCAGATGGCAACATGGCAGCATTTGTTGCTAAGGGAAGCCACATCCGCCACAGGCATGACTTTCTTTAAGAAATGGAGCATTTCAAAGGTTCAACCATGACACATACATGTAGCAAAATTCCATTCTTTCAATCATACTATAATTATAGCTGAATGATATAATTACCTACATGTACTTGTCCATACTGTATGTTCACGTCCTGAATCTGAGAACACATAATCTACTTATTTTCCAATCTAGGTAATAAATTTATTATTCATCTGAGAACCAAAAGTCCAATTAATTGGCCTTGATTAGTTTGGACAATTTCACTTAATGTAAATAAGGAAGTGGGACAGTTCTTGAATGATATATTTTCTTATACAAGATCGGTTGTTACTCGATTTTCCTCAGGACTACTTTAGAACCTTTGAGAAGATCCCCAGGTATCACATTCGGTGTGCAGGTAAATAATGGCCTTTCTATGACGCACATCCACCCACTGACAATGGTCCAGTTCTCCCTGGAGTATTTCAGGGTCATACACTCGATGATACATGTACTGCAGGTTTTTTTACAACTTGTAACACATTTGGATGACACGAGTCACAATTAATATTGAATTTTGATACAGCCAACTAATAGTAATAAGCATTGTTTGGGAAAGCAAAATACAAATGCAAGTAGCAAAGTTCCCAATGAAACAAAAGAAAAGGCCTTTGTAAAATTGTGTAGTTCACTTATACTATAGTTTTTAATTTTTTTTGTGTATCAAATTTGTTGCAATGATAAAAGAGAAGTCACAAAAGACACTGTCCAGCAGAAAAATACAGCAATTCCTGTTTTATAAAAAGCCAAACGACGCCCCTCCATTTTGAGCCTAATGGTGCGTTCCAACGAGCAAGGTACTTGGCCGAAATCTACCCCAGACAGAAGGCTATTTATAAATGCCCACAGTGCTACATCATTACATTGGCCGCTGGCCAACCCAGAATACTTCAAAGCTTTCCACAGCATGATGTCATCCCCTTGGAACCTGGCGCCTGATTGGTTGCTAGGGGGAATGATTGACAGGTCTAAGGGCTGATAATAGCAGCATGTGATTGCTGGTGCCAGGAGAGGGAATAATGTAGGGGAGGGTTGGGCAGCTGGGACAAAGCGGTGGCGTGTCATGTTTGGTTGGAAAGGGCAGGTGACTGGAGGGCAGTAAACAAAACGTGGCCTGATCTCCGCGCCAGGCGAGGGGGAACGTGGAACGGAGCTGACGCCATTGGATAATTGGGAATTCACAACAATAAACTAATATAGGGGGTTTTCTGGGGGACATTTTTTGGTAAACGTGGGACAAAAATGCATAGAGAATATGAGAGGAGTATCCTTACCTAAATTCCATTTTTTACCAAATTATATGAGTCTACAATAAGCCAATCCATACTTTTGAGAACAAATTCTTTGTTTCAATTGGCGTAGTCATTATTGTACTGTCTTCTTTGTTCCTCCTTTAAAAAGTAATGGATTTAGGCTACTGTTTCCCCTACCCAATATGTGAGTCTATAATACAGGTTTTAGCCTGCCAAATTGTATCAAAGTTGATATATTTTTTCTGCAAACTCAAAATTTTCAACAAATTTCAGTTGCTTATTTCAATTCAAGCCCTGGGTATGCAAAAATATTATAATTCCTACTTCCTGGAGCTTCATGTTTACATAGAAATACTGCTTTCAATCAGAATTAACTAGAAATGTTTATTGTCCTGTCCAAATGTTGGTCACAACTTAACAGGTTTTGAAACTAGTAAAAGGGCAATGAAAACAATAGTTTTAGTGGCCTATACAGGAAGTTAGAGGTATAAAAAACAATTTTTATGAGGAAGTTTTTGAAAAAAATTAAAAACAACAAAGAGGAAATATAGAAATAAACACACAACACACAAAAAAACAGGTAATCAAGATTTGACAAAAAAAATGAGTAAAAAGGCAATCCAAAAAATTGGAAGTTAGATCTTACAAAGTTAACGAAAGCCTGTGACACAAAAATGTGCACCTTGTTACATCTTTACTTAGTTTGCACTCTTACCAAAAAAGGATTACATCACTTAAGCATTCTAAAAATACCTCCCAAAATTCCTGTGTATACCATTGAGTACAGGAAGGATATTTGTATGGGTCACTGACTAACTGCCAACTCTTGAAATATCTCACCTGTACATGTGTTTAGTACTGGTTCTTCTAGTCTAGAAACAAGTCTAAGCTAGCAGTACATGTACTATTATTATAATTTATAAAACAAAAAAGGCAAGCAATTCATGTGTAACCTTCTCCTTGCTACTTTCCTACATGTAAAACAGGTTTGGTGCCAAATGGTTGCCCAATTACAATGTAGCTGGTTGGAGGCTCTTGTGGAAAAAGGTATCATCATCATACATGGATAGGCCATATTCATGTAGTATAACTATAATGTAACAAATAAAATTGCAGAAGGGAACTAGAGGTCCACAATGTCATACCTTCGCCATAAAAAATGCCCATAATGGCCAGGTGGTCCTTATGTAGAGGTGATCACTAGTGCAGGTATGACTGTATCCATTTTGTTTTCAACATTTTGATTGAAAATACATATCAGACTACAGATAGTGGCCCATAGATACATGTAAAACTAAATGCTCATTACTGATGAAAAGTAGTGGATGCTACTTGAAGTTGAAACGTTTGACAGTTTCCAAAATCTAACCAGTTGCTTGACTCCATGAGTTCTTGTGTACATAGTTAGTAGCTAGTGTGGGAAACTTCAGTGTATTCAGCACAAAAGCTTCATGGTGCTACACCATTTCTTTGTATTTAGAACTAGTAAGTAACTTGTGCAAATATCCTGTATTTGTAAGGCCCTTTAAAGTCATTTAACTGTTTTCTAGACATTTTAAGAAAAAAATCAAGACAGTTATAATTAACTAAGTACTAGTTATATTTTTCTAAACATTTATGATTGCTTTGATACACAAATGTGTATATATGCTTCCCTGTTTGTCAACGCATCACCTAGTTAAAACCAAACTTGATTAATATTTACACACTCCTTTAACCCTCTCCTTGCTTAAGTCCATCTCTGTACCCAAAATAGTATTGGCTAGAGCAGAGCTTGGCACAACAAAGGTTAATCTGAGTCAATGTTGAAAGTTAGCATTGGAGGTTACTGTGCTAAAGTCTAAAGTACAATGTACAAGTGTGCACATGTGCAGCGTCCCTACAAAAAGTGGGCGGGTAACGTTGAAGTTTATTGTAGCCTACAAGGTGGCTTTTTCTTCCAAGAGACTTCTTATTATTAAAGCTACATTATGTAACATTAGGATAATACAAAAAGTCATACTGCAAATCAATCAAATCAAATAAGTGCCATTCAGGAAGTGGAGGTGCCAAAATAGCACACCCTACAGTTAAGTTACGAGCGTGTTTAAAATCTGGGAACACAGCTGCCAGTCGTGTTTGTTTACATTCTGGCAATTTGTGGTGGTACCACAAACTGAGTGTGCCTCCTGTGGGCTGTTTAAGCCATTATAACGCCAACCACAAATGTTAGAAATGTGAGATGATTGCACATATATGCTAAAAAGTGGAAGTACGGTATACCACAATCATATTAAGATTTTTCAATTAGAATATTGCAATTTTTGGTTCAAAAAGTTCCATAAAATTGTAATATATAGACTAGTTTAAGCCTACACAAAATATTCAAATATCATTCACACAAAAACAGTGGTACTGCCACTGATGATTGACACATAGTGGGAGGGGCAAGTTGTAAGGTTTTAATACCTTTCAAGTAATTCCCATGGGACCATCCTGTTGTCTCTACCTGTACAACAGGTGACACAGTAACAGTAACAGGTACAGGTGTTTTCAACCTTTATGCAAATTAGAATAAAACCTTTTGAAAACGTATAAATAGCTCTCAAAAGGGCCAACAGAAACAGAAATTAAGGAGGAAATGTTACTTAATAAATTGCATGCAACTTCTCCATAATACAAGACCTACATGTTTCAGTGACTTTTCATTTACATGTGAAACAGTGTTTTTTGTCTACTTATGGTCTACATGAGTCACTGAACTAGAAGAAACTATGTAAAAAAAACTCATTGACTAGAGTATATGGGAACGCCTAAGTGCTAAGTGATATAATTATACAGTTTTTCTTTACACCATATGACAAATACATTACATCCAATATATTGAAGTTAAGAAATAGATTTAAGCAAGAAAAAGACTGACAACAGTATGTTTCTAGGAATCCCTTTCCTTAATTGAAGAAATCTATTTTCTGTGTGGTTTCCAGGATGTGGGACAACACTTCTGACCCAGGCTAGCTGGCCGGCTTCCATTAATTTTACATGCTCCAACATTCCGCTACCAGAACCATGACGTCAGTTTCAATAATGATTAGCAATGTACAATTCCTGCTAAAAACGGCCCAAAAACCAACCAAAAAGGTTAGAAACTGTTTCTTGTTGCTGTTTTTCTTGTTTGTGGGCGATGAGACTAAAACCAGGACAACATAATTGTCACATGACTACCTGGGCCCTGAGGAAAACAGCAAGCAGTCTAGCAACAACCTGTTCACCCCTGTCAACTCTTACAAGTGGAATCGCCCACAACGTATTTTGAGATTCCCCATTAAAAACGCCGAAACTCGCGTATTTTCGGCCACACAAGTGGACAGGGATGATGTAGTGGTCATCAGGGGTCATATCAGGGTGGTGCTGTGGTCAGAAAAGTGGTCCAAAGTGTCCATTTCGGGCGCAAACAAGCCCGAATCGAGCGCTGACCTCACAGTCATACTACTCACCACTAGCTACTCGTGAATACATAATGAGGGCAACCCCAAAACATGGCAAGGTATTTCCCCATACTTCTACCTCAAACCTTCCTCAATTTCCGCCCAAACTACCGCAAACGTGGCAAAAACATCGCCATCTGTGGAAGGCAACAAACCTAGGACGCCAAAAGTGGCGACTTTGCGGAGAATAAAGGTAGATTTGATGGGGAAATGCTTACGTTTCAACGGCTTTGGGTTGACTTGTTTCCGACGTGGCATGGTCTAACGTCCCTGGTTTCTGCGGAGCTATGGCGGAATTCCCCTCAAAGTGTGCACAGACATGTCCCCTGGACTCTCCCCGTCAACTTAGCGAGTCCCTGCCCTCCTGGTTGTGGACTAAAACCCGGTATTCCAGGTGGGAAAGTGGCGGAAAGTGCAAGTTTAACTGCCTTTCTCTCCAGACAAAAAACAAGAGCTGGGAATGACGTCATGGATCCCCCGCCACGCCCCAGAGCGAGGCTAGACGGAGATCCCGGAGTTTTACCGCCCCTAATAATTATCCTTCCGCGCTGGGTTTTCCCAGGAATTCTCCAACATTTCTCCCTTAATTTCCCCTCCTAACCTTAAAAACTACCAATACCACATCTTTCTTTACAGTATATTAAGAAAGGGATGGGTAAAACTGGTGTGAGTTGTTTTTAAGACGGGTTTGCGAGGGTGCGAAAAGGGGAAGAAACTAGTGCGGTGTTTACATGCGGAGTGATCCGGGAGCAGCCCGACCTGCGCGGGGTCACGTGACCGGATGGCCGCGCCGCCCAGGCAACAGGAGCGTGACTCATTCATGAAACTCCTGACGTCTGGCGCCAAAACCACGCGCCAAATTTAAAACGCCAGTCCGGTACTTGTTTCAAAAGGGGTGCCAGAGTATACAGTGCAATTTTACGGAATACAGTGCAATTTTACTAGTAAAATACTATTATGCGATTGCACTGTATTCCGTAAAATTGCACTGTATACTAATACGATTGCACTATATTCCATGAATTGCACTGTATACTAATACGATTGTACTGTATTCCGTAAAATTGCACTGTATTATAAAGTGTAAACTGGTATACTAATACACTGTATTCCGTAAAATTGGTCCCGAACATGTTGCAGGTGTTATAAAGTTTTTCAACACTTTTCCTGTACCACTTGAAAGTTCGCGTTTCATAATATAAGTGATAGCATATAATTTATATAATTGAAATCGATATTTAAACAGTATAGCATTTTTTAAAACTCGGGCCAAAGAGCATCAAGCTATCTCAAATTTCAAACTTTTCTTTGGATGGAATGGATTCATATATTCAAAATGGAAAGCAAATACATAATCGAAAGCAAATAACAGTATCAAATTTAATTAAGGACCTCAGTCCAACCTATCTGTATCTTGATATTTTCCTCACAAAGCAAACTGAAAAAAATTTCTTCTTTATATTTTTTTATACGTGGCACAACCATTTCTTTATCTTTATCTTGTGATTAAGGCTGCATTACCTAACTTGGCAAGCATACTAGTATCTCGTGGCTTTCGTCGTGTCACAGTCTTTTGGCGACGCTGATTACTAACGCCGTCTGGCGGATTACTGGAGTAATACAGTTTTCGAAAAGTGTGTGCATTTGTGTTTGTAACGCCTCCTTAAACTAATATGTAACGAACATTAGACAAGGTTACTTTAGGGTAAATGATTACAATGTTACCAATCGCGTACACATACAGAGAAAGAGAGAGAGGGGGAGAGAAAGAGAGAGAGAGAGAGAGAGAGAGCAAGAGCTCATAATAATAATTTTCTTTACTGTACTGTGAACAACGAAAACGTTTGCAGACTTTTGCCTAGATGTTATTCTATTCAGGGCTGTTGTAATTTGAAAAACATCACGTGCAAGTTTCAGGTGATCAATACCAAAATCAATACGTATTTAGCTGGGTAAAATGTTGGAATTGGCAAATACGATATACCCGTGACTGTTTGGGTTGAATGAGGACGGTATAATATAAAAATTTCTTTTAAACGGCGAACTCAGAGTTGCCAACCTTTTCGAAGATGTCCCAACCCCATCCAAACGTTTCAAATATAGCCTGCGCACGGGATTGGCTGATAGGAAATTATCGGTAATTTGAAAAAAAATAAACAGTCATCCGACCTTTGGTCGTCCTCAAATATCACATGGCACTGAAGTCACTATCGGGTGACCTTGGGTGATAATCTATAGTATGATGGCGTCCGCTAAAGTAGTTTCCCACCTAGCCGTGTTTCTGTTGTTGTTTACGGCGAATTATAATGACTTTTCTCGGGGCTACTCCAGTAACCTGTCCTTTAAGTCGGACGGGGAGGGACGGAAGGGTGCCTCATACGCAGGACGGTGGAAATATCTGTCTATCCTTGTCTCGGTAAGAGTGACCATGTTTTGCAGTTCTTCAAGGTTATCTAGCCTCTACCAGGCACCGCGGATCGCTGGAAAAATAGTAGAAATTGGCCGAAATAAAGGAATAATGCACCAGGGGAGGTAGCTGGCCAGATCCCGTGAGTCGCGAATTGGATCTTCTCTGTTCGGCTACCTCCTCTGGTACATTAGATCCTTTATTTCGGCCAATTTCTACTATTTTTCCAGCGATCCGCGGTGCCTGGTAGAGGCTAAAGGTTATCTACGGCCATGTTAGTATACGTAGTAGTGTGATGCAATATGTAGCTCCTTCCGTAGTTTTTCTAAGCATGACTAAAATACATGCGTTTTTATTGCGTATTTATCGTTTTTCATGTTGAGTTGAGAATACTACACATGTATAATAATGATTCTACATATATTTGGGCTGTCACCATATTTTTGCTATGCAACCCTGAAAGTGAATTGGATGTCTTTAACAACCACTTGTTTATATGTACTTCTGCTAAGTTCAATTCATGTTAGTTTTGATACTTTTTCTATCATTTAATGAAGGCACTAGTAGTCAGCACCTAACTGGCAAGTACAGTTTGATTATGTAATGTAAAATCGATTTTCAATAATCAACTTCAACATCTGCTTGGAGATTACAGAAAAAATCAACGACCGATCGAACCTTATCTTTTGCCTCCCATAACTCTTATCTGGTTCGGTCAAATCAAACGGATCGTAAATTCCCACAGACCTTTCCCCCAGTTTATTTTGGCCGGTGTGGTGTCAAAATGCGCTATAGGCCACAGCAAGTAATTTTAATGGATGACGTCGACATCAGCGCGCGCATAAATTTTTGCCTGATTTTTTTTTTTGGGGGGGGGGAGAAATTTTATTGCCCTCTGACAATGGTCAACATGACGAAAAAAAAAAGATGTCTGTTGCCATGCCGGAAGGTGGATGGCAGATAACTATAAAGAGAGGAGACAAGACAAGGTTCTGATGTAATGTTTTGTCTTTTACTTTGATGCAGTGATGTATTTAATTTCTTTCATATGTTCCCACTGAATGAAAACCATTTGTACAATGGTTGAAAACTTTGTTTTGTTGTTTCAGTGAGAAATGGATGTCGGCAGTCAACTCTTATCAAAATATAGGAAAAGTCAAAGTCAATAGCTATCATTTCTTGTTTTTGAAAAAGGGTTCATGATGTCAAAATGTAGGGATCTTGTTTTTTTTTTGGCCCGCCTTGTTTTTTTTTTACCCTATTGCGTTAGATTTGGCGTTTGCGGAATTTACTTGCTGTGGCCTAAAGTAAACTCTTTCCGAACTTTGAGCCCACGCCTTGTCTCCGGTAAAATGGCGAGTAGAGTAAGAGTGGTGACAACTGTCGTCCATGTGGCGATCCTGCTGGTGTGTGTGGTGACTGAGATTGAGTACAGTACTTATGTCATGCTGACTTTTGAGACACACAAGAAGTTTGGCGGCCGCTTTCCGTACCTGACCAACCTGAATGCGGTGAGCTTTGGAAGAAAGATTTTATGAAAAAAGATGTTGCATAGAACGTTAATACTTTTTTTAAAATTTTAGTACAAGGTGTTGTCAAACTACGTTGTGTGTTTGTGTGTGTATCAGTATTTCGGCGTAACACACCAGCTTCGCAGGCACGCGGCGCGGCGGCAGCTAGCTATATCACACCGAATAACGTCTTGTTACACTCAATCTTTGCACATTTAATTGCGTGTGTGTGTCAGTGTGTGTGTGTGTCAGTGTGTGTGAATGTCAGTGTGTGTGTGTGTGTGTGTGTGTGTGTGTGTGTGTGTGTGTGTGTGTGTGTGTGTGTGTGTGTGTGTGTGTGTGTGTGTGTGTGTGTGTGTGTCTTAGCCTCGTTCAGTCCGGTGCCCAAAGAATATACGCCAGTCACTAAAGAATCTCCGACTATTGAGTCATTGATTCACATGATTGAATTTTTCCAGGTGGCACAGATGGTTTTCTTCGGGAGCTGCGTGTTGAGTGACGTGTTTGAGGCCATCCTTGGCAGAAAACCTGGTGTGCTGAAGGCGCTCCAACGTGTCCAGGACTACCTCTTCGCCGTACTGCTGTTCCCGATGGCTATGGTAGGGGGCGTTTCTCACCAAGATAGATTGATGATGCCTGGGCGTCACCTGGCCTGGGTACTAACCTATAGGTTACCTTACTTGGTGAGAGTGAGAGTGTGTAAAGCTCCTGTCACACATTCAGAATTAAAATGAAATTAAGTTACGTGTCTCTGAAAAGACGATACAAAGACCTTGTTCTTTCTGTCTATAGGCTATATATATATTACAGTATTGTTTTTTTTTCTCCGCAGACGGTTCAGTGTCTGTTCTGGGCTATCTACGCCATCGACCGGGAGCTAGTCTACCCCAGCAAACTGGACGCCATTATTCCAACCTGGTTAAACCATGTCTGGGTATGTTTAGTCATCCATCCATCCATCCATCCATCCATCCATCCATCCATCCATCCATTCATCCATCTATCCATACATGCATCCATCCATCGATCCATCCATCCATCCATCCACCCACCCATTCATTCATTCATCCATCTTTCCCACCATCCATCCATCCATCCATCCATCCATCCATCCATCCTGTCATTATCAGTTATCGATTTATTTCAACTCAATCATTATCATTCATCCATTTTTCGTTCATTCATTCATTCATTCACTTATCGTGGTAATCAAAATATAATTTATTTCAACGTTAACTACCTCAAGTAATCATAATAGTGAACTGCACCAGTAACTTACCAATTATTACTGTTATTGCTGTCCTCAGCACACCACCACTGTGCCTGTATTGCTGCTTGAAATGTACGTGGTGCGTCGCCGTTATCCGGCACGTACCGCAGCACTGCCCGGGACAGTCTTCTTTGGAGCCGCTTACCTTATATGGTATGTGCCTAAATCACCTGATCTGTACGTGTTGCATTTATTCACGCAAACATTTAAGTTTTCTTGAGACACAAAGTTTCATCGAAGACATCGAAGTGTTCAAGAATTCATTCTTTCCTAGAACTATTGCAGTGAGGAACTCGCTGTCACAAAGTGCAGTAGGGGCATTGTCATTAGATAGCTTAAAACAATGTCGAGAGTTAGATATTCAAGGGTTAGGTGTAACAAGTCGATCGGTGTAATGTAGCCAGCTGCCACCGCGCCGCGTGCCTGCGAAGCTGGTGCGTTACGCCGATGGACGGTTATACCGGCTATAGAAATACAGATACAGACCTAATCCTAGTTTGTATTGCATCGATTGTGATAATATTCTTGGTTGTTAACTGTTGCTACATAGAAGATGAACATCGTAGGTGGGGCTCCTAGCGACTGTCCTTGGTACTGAAGCAGGCCTTCCAGTGTTCATGACACACTACGGGCTTGGTTTTCAAATCTTGGTGTTTTCCTCTCTGCCCACCGTATCACTAACGATGTTGAGAAAGCAGTTATTCGTCCGTATACGACCTAGTCCATTACATTAAAATAGATCACATTTTTTAACAGGATTCGGATCGTGGCTCACTATGGGGGTTTCTGGGTGTACCCGTTTCTGGAAGTGATGGGGCCGATAGGGACTTCCGTGTTCAACATGGCGGCTGTGGGGATGCTCTGTGTGTTCTACATGGTTGGCGAGTATGTCAACACAAAACTATGGGGTGAGAAACTTCATCATTGTAATGTTTTTTGCAGTCTTGATGTACATTGCTATGTGAAACAATTTTGTTGTGACAAACTAACATGATTCAGGGAAGGTACATCTGTGTCTTTCCCTGCCAATGTGTGTTTGAATTCGTGAGATAGAGACAATAAACAAAAACATATAATATGGTGCTATAGATTTAGGTAACATTTAGTAGTTTTATAATAGATAATAATCTATAATATTTCTGTTCACAGGTCGAGATGCTTTCGAAATTTCTTCCACAACGAGTCGTAAGAAGAGCAACAAAAGTGCATAGATAGACATGAAGAAAAGTGCGACAAGCAAAGTATCATTAATCAATTATTAATAATTAATTAGACTAAACAGTGAAAAAATTCAATTTGAAAATATCTTCTTTTCATTATAATTAACCTCCACTTTTCAACATATTTGTGCAATTATCTCACAGTTCTTACATACATGTACTTAGTGTTGTGGCCCACACAAGGGGCACTCAGTTTGTGGTACCACCACAAAATAACAGAATGTAAACAAACATGGCTGACAGCTGTGTTTCTAGCTTTAGATATATTAGTACCTCAACTTCCTGAATATCAATATCTGCAATAGTTGGTTCAACGTATTTTCTAAAGAAATACCAATAGATTTTTTGTATCGAGTATCGTCTTATTAATTGTTATATGATATAGCTTTAAGATTGACGTTTTTATGCCCCTATTACCTTTTGATGTACCACTCCTATATCAAAGAACCGGAGAGAAATTTGACTTGCCATACTGCCGATCAGATTGTAGAGACAGAAACTTGCTGCCATACACATGAAGACGAGAACAACGCACAGAACAACCATCAAAGGGAGGAGGACAGCCACAGTGTCCAGGTTGATCACACTTGGAGCTGGAGTTGCTTTATATTTCCAATCGTCCACACTACGAGCTTGTCGGCTATGTCTCGGTTGCTGCATAACAGGGCTTGCATCAACTTCAACTTGACTCTCGCGAGAAATCCCAACTCTCGCGTGATCTTGTGACACTGAATGCCCTGTCTTTGCCCATGCTTGTCTTGGGATTTTGGGATTTAAACGTGCTGCAAGCGACATTTGATAACGTGTTGCTTGCACAGCATTCTGTTTAAGTTGGCTATCTACCTGGTCATCTGCTGAATTTCTGGGACCATTGCCAGCAGCTTCAAATGCTATTTGAATGCCTTTCAAGCTTTTAGAGGGCTTGAGTCTTAACATAAAAGAATCTTGCTTAGCAGTGATCTTGAGAAATAGTAGTCCTTTCTGGTCGTCATTTTCGCCAACTGTGCTCTTGGGGGATTCGCCAAGATGGACGCCGTGTGTCGTCACTTCCGTTTCCGGTGTTGCAGGTTTGAACAGGACCAGGATCAACAAACATAGGCTGGACCGTGTGGACTTTTGCATGTCGTAGCAAATCCGCCAAGTCAACGTCGTCCTTGTGAAAGTGACACCTCTTTTTTTGGACACAGCAGCCTACAATAAGTGAAGACATGGCATGGATCACGATGGTCCATATGTATGACACATGTACGTTGGACTCTAGAATGGCAAAATATTCTGGTCTTACAAATCACTGTAAACATAGCACTGCATATCAATCCAGGCTTTGATTTTTTTGTTGCCAAACCGAAAGATTAAAAAAACACAAAGCAATAAATATAGAAGCTCAACTTGACCTTTATATTCTACATTCGGAAGAACTATAATTGGAATAGAGTCTTTACAACGGTGGTTGCTTGATAGTACAACGAATAAAAAATATTGTTAGTTGTAAAATGGGCTTTGCTCCAACACGAAGGAAACACTCAACATAAATTTACAGTCAATGTCCTCAACCTTATCATATGCGTGATTCATGATCACTGCATTGATTTTCCTTTTTGTTAGAAACAAAACTCAAATTTAAGAACTATAGATTCTTACAATAAAGATGAGCATCCATTCGAATTGTTACAATGTACTTACCTTCAATATTGTGTAGTGCTAGTTTGCCCTGAAGTCAGGAAACCCGGCGGTCGCTGTGTGAAGGCTCTACTAGTACTTTGGACGTCTAAGTCCTGTATAAACCTTCCGTTGCGTCGTTCAGCTCAAACGTTGATACTACGTGATGTAAAAACGTATATATATGGTCGAGGCCTAGGGTGCCAGAAAATGCGTCCACCCCACATATGTATGCCATGACTTGGAATACAAATGTGGGCCGTGGTTAGTGCTACTTCTAGGAAACGAGCTTTTACTGGCACTACTGTACCCCGGTGATGAGCCAAATCCTCAAGCTGCTACATACGTGTGGGGTCAGGTGTTTAGGGCTAGGTTAGGGTTGGTATTAGAGTTAGGATTAGGGCTAGGGTTAGAGTTGGAATCATTAGTTGTTCAGGGCTAGAGTTAGACTTACGATTGGGGTTAGGTTTAGGTTAAACTTTATAATCTCCCACATCACGTCCACCCTCCCACCCCTTGTCTCAGGTACTAGTATATTGGAAACCCCTAAGTAGTGTTGGAGTCGTGTATATGGCAGGATCATGTATTTGGCTTGACACGGGCAGTGACTATGTCAACGCTCGTTAATCCAAGATAGCATAAGAATACCTCCCATACTTCAACATCAAATCATTATTTTGAGAATATACATGTAAATTAAACCTTTTTTCAATACATAAAATCCTTGAATACAGCAAAAAATCATTTTACAGCAACAAACGTTGTGTGATGTTAGTTTGTATATGATATAGGCCGTGTGATGGTTTTTGATAGTGTATTACGGAGATTTCACTGTACTGTGACTTATCCCAGTGATCCGCCATTTTTGTTTGCCCAACCGAGGCTGGGCGGTTCGATCTGGAGTGTGGAATGTCCCGGATGTGTGTGGACAACAAACACCCCGCCTGTATATTTTTCACTCCGGGCGCTGTACAGATAGGTCAATGTGCTTTACATGTAGCAAAACAAATACTGTGCACACATTTTCATGGATCCAAACCAAGTTTATATTTTGAACTGTAGGTGGTGCGGTATGTGACTAAGAGACTCGCATCAGAACTGCTCAGAATCGCTCAGTTAAAAAGCGCAAAACTATAATAAGAATAAGCACAGGGTGTAGATGAAATACTTCATGGTCTTTTAAGACAGACAAATGCCTACTATATGTGACTTATAATAATAATTTTTTGTAATAAGATCATCGGTTGCTTAGAATGTCATCTGTTGAAAAAGTTTTTATTAAGCTCCAAATGCATGTATATACATCATATTGTGAAGCTAAATCTTCTAAATCTTTATTTATTGAAGCGTCATCATGCCTGTATTTTGAAACCTCATAATATTCTTGTTATGAAACATGAAATTTATAATTTATGCACTTTGTATGAATGCTATGTTTTTTATTTTTCATATAGCCTATATGTTCTTACCTTGATTTATTTACATGTACAGACAGTTTCTGGCCTAATACAACCCCCATATCATCATAACTTCGTTATCACACTGTACATGTATATAATCTTCCTCTTCTATAAAATTGCTCCTTCCCTTAGATATTTTTTTTTTATATACAAGTCATTTGTTTGATGTTTTGTTAACTTGAAAATTGCTATCGAGTCACCTATGGCATATTACGTATACCTGCTATGTTATGCTTGCTCCTGAAGCCTACGCATTGTGCTTCCTACATGTAGATCTGTATGGATATCTACAACGCCACCTCGCGGCATTAGCTTGTACTACAAAGCGCGACTTTGACGTTTGCACGTGACGTCAAAACGCCATATTGGATGGTTCAACCCAGAAGAGTCAGACCTATAAATGCCGCACATGGTTAATTTGCATGTGGCTGGTGTTAGATATACACGTTAAGATGTACTAGGTGTAACCATCCAATATGGCGGACCACGCTCACGTGTGTGCAGATTTATACTTCTCTAACGGAACTATGCAATGCAGTCGTTACATCTTACATTTGTACAGTTCTTCTTGCTCAATCTTATACTTATTTGTGCTACACAATACGGAGTAATTGCTCCGGAGCAAGTGTTATGCCTCTGGCGTAATGTACAGATTGCTTCCTAACTGCTCCTAGGTATTTATATGAAGCTATTGTTTGTGCTACACAATCCGGAACAAATAACTACTCCGGAGCACGTGTTATGCCTCTGGCATAAATGTACAGATTACTCCGTAACTGCTTTGTAACTACTCCGGAGCTTGTTTGTTCGGGAGTTGCACAAGGAGAATGCTTAAGCTTGTGCTGTACAATCCGGAGCAAATGATAACTCCGGAGTTTTTCTGAAGCTTGTTTGCAATTGTTAGGGGGTCATACAAGGAGAATGTTTGTGCTAGACAATCCGGAGCAAATAATAACTCCGGAGCAAGCGTTATGCCTCTGGAACATGCATAAATGTACAGATTGCTCCCTAACTGCTCCGGAGTTTTTCTGGAGCTTGTTCGTTCGAGGGTCACACGAGGAGAATGCTGTCGCTTTCCAGCGACTCGAGCGACTTGAGAGACCGCATCTCCCAGTACTCCCGCCGGGTAGACACGCCCGCCACCGCGTTAGCCTCCTCCGTGGACGTCGACGTGGCCCACGTCTCCCACTGCACCGTGTGGGAGTAAACTTGCCGCTGAAGAACAAAAAAGAATCAAGAATCAACAGTTTTCACCTTCTAGAGTAGAAATATGAGGAACGATAGCATCTCTAGAGATCGGAGGAGATAACAACTACGAGTTTAGATTATTCACACAAAGTCAGCTTTAATTTCCTGCTTCGCCCTTTATAACACAGACCGAAAGGAATATTGTTCAGGTTACAAAGAAAGGAAAGGAAAAAGGTCTACTGAACAGGGACGGGGGCCGATATAGACTTCCATCCGTACCTGGAATGTCGTCGTAGCTTGAGGAACGGGACTCTCTACTGCTCGGGTGGTCTCGCCGTGCGCCACGCGGCTCCTGGGCCGGATGTAGAGGAAGAAGAAGGCACATCCGGCGAATGCCAGGAAGAAGAGTCCGACCAGCGTGCCGGCTATCACCCACACCGCCAGCGTGATCGTGTTGGACTCGCCTTCCGGACTTTCGCCTTCCGGGGTGTCAGACGAGGCTGTCCCAAGAAACATAGCAGAACATTCGTGCTCAGTCTATTCTACAGTTAGCAACGCTTTGGAAGTTCTTTGTACTATAATGATCATTAAATTGAAATTCGTTTTCCATGGGTATAATTATGTTTGACTCGCACCTCCGACGATGCTGTCCCAAGAAACATAGCAGAACATTCGTGCTCAGCCTATTCGACAGTTAGCAATGCTTTGATATGTCTATGCACTATAATTATCATTACTTTAATTGAGATCCGTTTTCCATGGGTATAATGCATATTTTCATACAACAGATTACATACTTCAATGAATATGTTATAATTATTACAACGAAAGCCAGTATCAATTGTACCAAAATATGACTAGAATTCTTACAGACTGGTTACATGATATACCTTTCAGTTCGCCCCTGTGGCGTTACCAAAATAGCTAATCTATGTTTTAAGGATTCTGAAAAGGTATAGCACAGTGAAAGCATAGTCTTACCACGGCTTGTGGTTTTCCCAGCTACCGCCGACTTAGTTCCCGATGCCTGCCCAGTTGTAACCGTCGACCCGCCTCCACCAATGAACGCGCTCGACGTACTTTCAGAAGACGAGTCGTTGCCAGGCAACGGAGTCACTGATGTAACGCTGTAGCTGATTGGTGACGCGTTTCTTGACGTTGGCCTCAACGTAGTCGAAGCCTTCGTCGTTTCTTTTCGGGTGGTTGTCGTCACTGGAGTTGTAGTGGCTTGTGTTGTTGTCCTTTTCGTAGTCGTAGCCTCTGTAGTCGTTGTTGGTTTGGTTGTTGTACTTTGTGTCGTTGTCGGCAACGTTGTTGTCGGCTTGGACGTCGTTGTCGGTTTCAGAGTGGATGCAACCGTGGTTTTTTCTGTTGTAGTCGATGGTTTTGTGGTTGTAACCGTTGTCGTTGTAGCCGGCAATGCTGTGGTGCTCCGAAGGGTTGATAGAACAGGCACGGCTGTCGTCGCCGTTGAAATACGTTGTGAAGACGGTCGCACGACTGTTGTATCGGTAGTTCTTCGCGTTGTAGTGGTCGGAGGAGACGAGGAAGATGGGAAAGGTACAAAAGGGCTTGTGGTGGACGAGGTTGAACTTGTGGTCATGAGAATCACTTGACTGGAGGTTGTCGATGGCGTTGACTGAACCGGAGGGGGTGAAGATGGTGGAATTGTCGATGGTGTTGATGTTACTTGAGAACTTGCCGGTTCTGTTGTTGCTCTGCAATAAGACACAACAGATAAATATGATCGCAAGTATGGATACGCTCGTGCGTTACCGAAGGACGGTTACACTGCAGCACTGCACTATTATAATGCACTACCAGATACAGATGACTGAGAGGTGCATCAATTTCAGAAATTGTAATAAGGAAAAATATTGATAAACATTACATATCATATCAACAAATGCATCCTTACAGTAATTACAGAAAAAAAGGTGTTATACCTTGTTGTAGTATCGCTTCTTGTTGTCTTGGCTGTTGTAGACAGCGCGTTGGTGGTTGTTCTCAATGATGATATTTGAGGCGAGCTGACTATGTATCCGATGGTTGTACTTGCTTCTGTAGAGGTTGTAGATATGTTTGTAACTATAGTAGTAAAGTCTGGTGCCGAACTTGATTTTCTCGTAGACGACACTCCACTACTAGTCTCCAAGAGTACGGTTGCATTTGTAGTCCTCGACGGAGTTGTATTTGTTGTAAATCCATCGCCTGTGGTGTTGTATGCTGTTGAAGTTGATGTCGTTGTAACGTAGCTTTGAGTGGTCCGGTTAGAGGATGTCATTATAGGTGTCGAACTTGAAATAGTCGCGTTAGCAGACGCAGTGCTCAATGAAATATTGGTAAGAAGCGTTGTACTCAAAGTTGTTGCACCTAAACTTGAAGTTGTTGTACCAGTAGTTGATGAGGCATTTGTACTCGATGGAACTGTGTATGAAGTCGTTGTATTTGAGGTGGCACTTGAGCCCGCACTTGACACAGATGAACTTGAATATGCCTCAGAGGTCTGATTCACTGATCCTTCACTTGAAGGCTCGTTGGCTGTCGACGTTGAGCCTTGAAATGTAGTGTTGTTGGAAGACGACACGCTTAGAGATGTGGTCATTGCCGACGTGGTATTGGAAACTACTGGATTCGTTGATACATCGGCTAGAGATGCATTAACAGTTGATGTTGTAGATGGAGTCGTTGAAACTGTAGTGTTCGTTGATACCTCGCTGGTCATAGTTGATGCTGTTGCTGTACTTTTAGACGATGTCTGATTAGCAGTTGTTTCAGTTGATGGGGCACCTACGTTCAATGTTGCATTGGAAGCCGAAACAGTTGAAGAAGCGGTTGCAAGACTTAAAACAGTCGGTGTAGTCGGCGCCGCGCTTGTTGAAACGTTGTTTATAACTGTTGTTGTATCCGTCACAAGAGACGATGACATACTTGGTGGTGAAATTGTACTTCGAATAGTTGGTGTAGACGATGTAGCACTTTGAGAAACGTTTGTAACAGGTACTTCATCAGAAGTTGTGGAATTCGAAGATGCTTCACTCGAAACCGTTAGGGAGGTGGATGATGGCACAATTGGTGTACTCACAACTACCGAAGTCGTTGGCTTCACACTCGTTGAGGCATTTGTCACTAGCGTTGTGGCAGAAAGCGTTGTAACCGAAGATGATGTATTTGTAGAGACACTTTGTAGAAGCGTACTCGCTGAAACTGTCTGACTTGTTGGTTGCAGGGCTGTAGAGACATTTGTAGCTGAGGTTGGCACAGGAATGGTAGATGTCTCATTGGATGAAGTGGTTGCAACCGTTGGATAAGTGGTTGTAGCATTTGTAGTCGGGTGTGCAGACGATGTTGTTCTTGGAGTGGTTGCGTTAGAGGGTGTTGCACTTGACGAAACGCTTGGAACAGCTGTACTATCCGAAATTGTCACGTTATTTGGATTGTCGCTTTGAGACGCATTCGCGATGTAGTTTGTTGTAGAGGTCGTTGTACTAGGAGTTGGTGAAACGCCTGCTGTGGTAGTACTGGAAGCGTTCGTCTTTGTAGTTGATTCACTTGGAGATACATTTGTGAACGTGGTTGTTGAAGAGGTCATTGCGTGTGTAGACGTCCCAACGGCTGGAGATGTGCTTGCATTATTAGTGGTGGTGGTTGTATCGTTAGAAGATCCAACACTTGGAGAAGCACTTGCGATCGGCGAAGTACTAAAAACTGTAGACTCAATAGATGTGACGTTATATGAAGAGACGTTCGACGTTGAGGTTGGCCTGGGAGACGTCGCTGCCGCACTGGTAGATACAACGATCAAAGATGCGTTGGCCATCGACGTTGTACCAGTAAGAGACGCACTAGAGACAGCAACAGTTCCAGGCGCGCTTGTCTGAGTTGCGGCACTTGAAAGTGTGGTTGTACTAGAAAAGACGGTGGTTGTACTTGAAACCGTTGTATTAGACGGGGTTGTATTATTCGAACCGGTCGCTGTTGTTGACACCCCAGTACCCAGCGAATGTATAACTGGTGCTGTTGAACTACTTGGCGCTGGTGGAACAGTAGATCCGTTACTTTGTGAGGTACTGGCATTGAAGGTTGTAATCTCTGTTGTAGTTACACCAACAGAAGATTGCACAGGTCCCAGCGTACTTCTTCTGGTCGTGTTTGTTGTAGGAGAAGTGGTTTGCACCGGCGGTGTAGGTACAGCGCTGCTTGAAGCGTTGGATTGAGTCGTGGTTGTAGAAGATGCTGTAGCTGTTTGGTTCGTTGTACTAACCGGTGCCGTTGTATCATGTGTAGTGGTTGTATTATTACCAGTCGCCAGGGACGGTGCTTGTGTTGTCGTTTGCACAGAGGGCGGTGTATTTGTAACCTGTGCTGTGGCTTTTGTTGTTGTGTTCACTGTAGATTGTGACGTAGCGGGCGGTGTTGATGCAATTACAGTTGGTGTCGCCTGTGAGAGAGTTGGCTGGGTGGTTGTAACCGACGTTGTTGCTTGAGTAGTGTTAATGGATGGCGTCGCAACCTCCGAATTAGAAGCTGTAACATCGCTCGTTGCGTGCGGTGTTGTCACATTCGCGGCTGATGTTACAGCACCGCCCAGCGTAGTATTTTGGGAAGGCTGTATGCTCGTTGGTGGTGTTGTGGTACTCTGCTGTGACCGTACGGTTGTATTGGGTTGTTGAGCTGTTGTCACAACTGGAACCGTTGACACAACTGATGGTGTAACTGTGTCAACACTAGTTGCATTGGACACCGCGTCTAGAGTTGTTGGTGCCGTTGTATTTGTCGCTGTAAGTGTTGTTGCTGATCCTGACGTCATTTCCTGTGATGCATTGTTCACATCCGCTGTCGTTGTGTTGACAGTAACGTTTTGCGGCAGTGCCGTGCTAGGAATTGTCGTAAAATGCCTTGATGTCACCTCTAAGGACGTAGACGTGTTGACAGCGTTCGTTGTTGTTGTAACTGCTGGTGTTGTCACCGACGTTGATACTAACGGGTTGGCTGATGATGCCGTGGTGTTCTTCGTTGTACCCACAGGAACGGTAGTTGAGCTGCTGTTTACTGCGTGTTGGTCTGTAGTGCCAGCCGTAGACACCGCAAGAAATCCAGTCGTTGTATTCGCAACTGTACTCGATACTGCGGAAGAGTTCAGTTCTGTCGCGCCCGCTGTTGTTGTTGGTGGTGAAGAATGTTGTGTCGAGGACACGTTGTTGTTGTCCGAAGTCGACGTTACAACCGTCGCCTGGTTTTGTAAAGTCGATGGCACAGGCGTAGTGCTACCTCCACTCACTGTCGAGTTTTCTGAAACATTGGAAGACCGCGTACTTGACAACGATACATTTGCAGCTACTGTAACCTCCGTGCTAGCCGTACTGGTAGTTTCTCTTGACGTAGAGTTTGTAGAAAGGTTACCACTTTGCGTGGTTGGAGACAGTGCCAATGTTACACTGTTCAACTCAATTGTGGAAGCCAGGGCCGTAGAGGTCCCTGCTCTACTAGAAGTTTGTGTCAATGTCACTCCATTTGATGTTGTGGTCGGCGTGGTTGTCTGATGTACACTTGTAGTGTCATTCGTTGCCAATGCACTCGGACTTGCTGTCTCATTGTAAACTGATGTAGCCGTGGTAGCTTGCGTGGCGTGAGGAGCGGATGAATTCGCAGACGTTGTCTCCGGTGATGTGACATTCGTGACGTCACTCACAGTCGACGAATCAGGGGTGGCGACGCTGGACGAGTTGTAAGGTTCGGTTTCATTGGCTGTGATCGTGGACGACGTCGTCCCGAAAATCGACGAGGACGCATTCGTGGGTGCTCCGGAAATTGTCGACGGTATGTTCGTAGGTGCCGAAGCTGCACGAAATAATGGCCGAAGGTTAGTGAGTACAGAGACAAACAGACACACACACACACACACACACACACACACACACACACACACACACACACACACACACACACACACACACACACACACACACACACACACACACACACACACACACACACACACACACACACACACACACACACACACACACACACACATGCACACACATGCACACACACACACATGCACACACACACACATGCACACACACACACACACGTACACACGCACGCAGGCACGCTCAAACACATACACACACATACACACACACAGAGGCACACACAGAGGCACACACATACGCACACACACACACACACACATACTGACACATACACGCGCGCGCGCACACCTACACATACACGCACACACAGAAACACACACACACACACACACACACACACACACACACATACTAGGACAAAGACATCACTTACTAGTGACATTGGTAGCGTTGCTTGTAACCATCCCTGAGAAGAAAGTGGCTAGTAGAACCATGTACAGATGTGGTGTCATAATCAGCTTTCTTCTGAAAAAGGCAAAAATTACAAGACTTTTCCTTAAGGCCACACCAAGTAATTATACGGTCATTGAACATATTTCGCTATTTCTAATCATCATTTTACCGTAGCCCAAATGCAAGACACATATATACTAACCATAACCCTTAGTCATGCAGTACTGAACTAAACCGCTATGAAAAAAGTACCAAACGTATCCACCTACTCGGGGATTATAGCTACAGACGCGCATGAAAAAGTAAAGGTGTCAAACAAACATCTACAATTATCCTGTAGTATCCATCTGCACTGTGTTACAAGCTTAGTTCTGCCTCAGTGTTTTCTAGATGTTACAATCCACGCCAAATCTCGGTATTGAGTCATGAAAAAACGTGACGCCAGAAGACATTCAGTAACGGAAAGGATCACCTTTTCATGTTACTTCAAGTGTTACAAGACACACCACACCCAAAATACAAAAATCCATCCTTTCTTCTTCGAGATGTTACTCAGTGTCCTAAGGTATTATCTAGGTAAGCTATATCATTAGTTGTATCAACTTGATATAATATGCATCATTACTCATAATAGGGTGAACTTTGATAGTTTTGACCTTTTGATTTTCCTTTATTTGCGAAAGGGAATTAGGAATAAATGGGTTTGTGTGGTAAGTAGACAGGATGTTCTGTTTTGTGGCAGAAAATATGTGTGTTTTGTTGTTAGTGGAAAAGCACCGCACGCAACAAATGTTGCCACAATAATGGCAAAACTCAACCACACCCTGTATTGGCTTGGACTCTAAGGCCATGTTGATTTGATTGTATGGATGACATCTACGCCCGCATGAATTTTCGTCTGTTTCCAAAAAAAAAAAAGTTTTTCAATTTTTGTACAATTTTGACAATTGTACAAAAAGAGCGAATATATGTCGTGTGTTGCAAAAAAATGTATTGGAAAACGATACTGATATCATAGAATGCCGAAATCATTTCAGGAACATAAGAAACGTAAAGGAATGAAAATGAAGACTCTATCATTATCCGCCATCCCATACTCTGTGTGTTTAGTAATTTGTTCATTTGTTATGATCGCGTAGATTTTATAATGAAGGAAACTGTTTTTGCCAAACTTTTTTATTCGCACGCTCGCATCAGTTTTTGGGTTCCCAGGGGATGTCATCCAAGTTGACCACTGTCAGAGGGCAACAAAATTTCTGTTTTTTTCTTACCAAAATCAGACGAAAATTAATACGTACGCTGATGTCATCTAGAAAATTACTTGCTGTAGCCTAAGGTATGGAAGAAAATGTTATAGTTATCTCTTTTCTACTATGACAAATTGACATATGTCTACTGAGGAAGACCAGAGTGACTGGTCGAAAGCTAGCTCTAGGCGAGAGAACTTTTTTGTGTTGGACCAAAAGTTTTAACTTTTTTAAAACATAGATATAATGTAGCGTTATAGTTTACAGAAAAAGCCTGAGGTGGTTAGAGAATGGTCTGGGATTGTTGAGATTTTCTTGTTCTTATCAGTGGTTACATAAGGCGTCTTTTCTTTGCCCGAGTTGTTTAGGTGGGAGAAGGTATTTCGCCTCAGGCCTCAGGCCATGAGATCAAATAGCACAACAGCGCGCTTCGCCAAACTATAGAAACTGTGCCACTAGTGGCCAAAAACAGGCGTTGATTTTTTCATGTGTAGTTTCATGACCATTTAACGCTCTCTATTGTAATTATGATTTTATTAATGTTCATGATAGTTAGGAGTTACAATCATATGTTTTCAGGCCATGTATGTACACTTGTTAATGTATATACAGATACAATAACTTGTGAATTGTTTTTGTATACCATATATACACCTTTAGCACATACACTACGCTCTGTAGAAAACAGTAACATTTTACATTTCTGAAGACATCTGTCTTATGGTAGACCTCCCAGCAATTTTAAAAGCAAGTTTCATGTGTATTTTGTTTAGACAATCTTTAACATGTATGTTTTTTTAGCGAAAGTACACAGTCGCTTCTTGTTTCCAAAACCTAGAGAGAGTATGGCACAAGAGCTAACAGTGTGTCTGAAAAAACAGGGCAACTTTGTCTCTATATGTGACTGCCGCCTTGTACTGTTTATACTTGACTCGGGTACACTAGAAGGCAAAACAAGGCACTAGTGCGGAACTGCCATTTGGCTAATTACGAATTCTCGAGCTGTGTCGTCGGTGTGTTTTTCTGGCATGCTTTACTCAAGTGTTAAGTAAAACGAGAGAAGTTTACGTTCCGAAGAGGCGGACAGGCAACATCCAATGCCGGGCTCCACATTCCGATTGTAGCCAAGATAGCTTTAAACACTGAACCTGAACTATCCGTGTTTCTGGTATTGAGACAAGCTTTCCCATTCTTTCCACTCATAACAATATATTCACCTATTGTTTATGCTTTATATCACTTTAGACATAATTTTAATGATTTCCGTTGTTTTTACTTTGATCTAAAGCGTTGTATTTTATATAGTAAAACCGGAAACTGCAATGTGAAAGGTTATAACCTTTGGCTTGGTATACCTCGTATATATTCTTGACAGCAAAAGAGGAAACGAAGATACAACAAATAGTGTTAATGACCTACCTTAGAGAAACAACATAGTTTGCAGTTTCTCACTACTTGTGCCTGTTTTCGTCTGTCTTGTGGTGTAAACTTTCACAGAGTGTCAAAAGTCCTCCATGGAACGTGTGGAGAAAGGGCTTCTTTTTCCCCCACAAACGTTTACATCCTAGAAATGACGTCAGTAGTGGGAACGGTGGTTTTGTTGCCTTTTCTCATCCCACAAAAGACAGGAAATTCCGTGGATTATGGCGACTGACCAGAAACCTTGGATTTCCAACACGTTAAGGTTCCATTAGTTTCTAGGCCTTCCCGCCAAAACGATCAGAAGCGCGTATTACGTCATAATCAGACGAGAAAATGCTCACCACACCACGGAAACTTAATTCCTCCAACCTCTGAGAAAAACGTTGTCCTTTTCCAGCGAAATAAGTTCCTCAGGCACCGGATTACATCCTGGAGTGAGTCAGTGATACGGTCTTGAACTAAGCACCAGATCTAGCTCGAAATCACTCCACACGTTTCAGAAGTTGGCAGAAGAGTAGACACACTCGTACTCAGACAAAATGTCGGACGCTCCTAAGTCTGCGTTTGTGTCTCTTGTCAGGACTTCTAATAAACAGTGCTGTGCTAGTGGAACAGGGCTGTGTTTTGGGCAAGCGGCATCCTCCCTTACAGGTATGTTATCTGTGGTCGTTCAGAAATGTCGTCCGATCGGACTGTACCACAACTTTGGTAGGGGTATTAACCTATCTCGAATGCAACATTTATTACTTTATGCTTCTTATAACTGACTATATGTCTTACTAGACTTTGTCTACAATATGTTTGCGGTTGTCTTTGCTTCTTGTTTGTAAAAAATAAAAATAGAAAGCATACATCTGTTTAATTGAGTGGAAATTCACCCCCCTTTTCTGACAGAGAATTGATTTGGCCCACTGCGTGTCTCTATCGGACAAGATCCGTTCACCCTCTACTCATCCCCAGGATTTGGCGGGACACAAAAGGGACTCGGTCGGCCGAGCTTGAGATAACAACCCCCATTGCCGTTGGTAAAAGTCAGCTGGTATTGACGTTTGTGTGTGCTCGCGCAGGTGAGACGGCATTTGTTTCCGTCGCCTTGGCAACAGAGCCGGGAGATTTACCCGCCAAATCACTGACTGAAAACTTGTAAGAACTTGCTCCCCGCCCATTGGTTGTCTGCCACGACAGCTGCGGGTTACAGAGTACACTAAGCGTGGATAAAACGTCGATTAGACAAAAATGTTTCTGTAATTGTATATATGTAGCCTTTGGTAGATAAAGAACTTATGGGAAGTATAGGAAAACCGGTTGAGTGTGGCGTTGAAACAGAAAATGCGATTAAAGGCTTGAAGAATTTGATTTTGCTCCTTGCTTTGCCGTAAGCTGAAGGGTTGCGTTTGCGGATTTTTTTAAAAATCGGTATTTGTGTGTGTGTGTGTGTGTGTGTGTGAGTGTGTGTGTGTGTGTGTGCGTGCGTGTGTGTGTGTTTGTATGTATGTGCGTGTGTGTGTGTGTGTGTGTGTGTGTGTGTGTGTGTGTGTGTGTGTGTGCGTGTGTGTGTGTAGAATATTCAAAATTTCCCTGGGAGTACACATGTACTGTTCCCATGGCGTTCTACGATGCAGTGCTACCATGTGCCGACAGGAGCGTGCTTGCTGCTGTCCGTCAGAGATGCCATCTCGCGGCCACTGTGATTACTGCAGGTAGTGATGGTGCCATTACTGCTTTATAATGATGTCTCACTTGAACAATCATGTAACAACATCCCACTCTACCTTTTCCTTCTATTCCAACATTTATCGCAAGACATGGCGACGGCACACTCAAATTTTTTCAACTTATTTTTCTGCCGCCAGACAAACGCACGGATAACAGACATACTCATATGCATCTGCAAAAGTGAGGAAATTCGTGTGTGAAGCGCCTTTCCCAAGGGCACAGGATCGTTGGCATGGTAGGATTCGAACTCGGGTCCTCTTGGTTCTTACGCCACACGACCCGTCTCCAGTGTCTTCAGTATCTATGTTCTTGGTTTAAAAAAATAAGGCTTTTAATAAGTATATACAATCCATATTATGCAGTTCATATTATTATACGCTTGATACTATAACAGTCACTATTTTACATTGCATCTTTCACCCCTCACCAGATTGCAAAATAGAATCGTCCGCACACATGTTGCAGAGTAGTTCGGGATGTTGTGCCACAGCGGGGGTTCGGACGGTTCAAGTTGACCTTGCTTTTAACCTTGAATGACCTCCGCGGGGTCACCGTATGCGGCTCAGCACGGGGTAGGACGTTATCCTGGTGGGAGACCATTTCTTTCATCACCTGTTACTGTAAGGTCACGCACCGGAGTTTATCTGGTCTTAAGGCCACAGCAAGTAAATTTTATGGATGACATCCTCCGCAGAGTCCAAATCTAATGGCGGGCGAAAAAAAGAAGGCGGGCCGGAAAAAAATAAGGTTCCAACCAAGGACATTTTCAAATTTTGGCTCAATCATTGTACAAATGGTTTTGATTCAATGGGAACATCACATATACACAGCCAGCATCACATATCACTGCACCAAAGTGAAAAAGAAAACATTAAATCAGAGCCTTTTCTTGTCTCCTCTCTTCATAGTTATCTGCCATCCACCTTCCGGCATGGCAACAGACATCTTTGCTCATTTTCGCCATGTTGACCACTGTCAGAAGGCAACAAAATTTCTTTTTTTTTTCAATATCAGGCGAAAATTAAATTATTAATGCGCGCGCTGATGTCATCCATAAAAATTACTTGCTGTGGCCTAACTTGAAGAACATGTTTCTGTCTTTTGATCCGATTTCCAGAAATGCTAAGAAATGGCTGAAAGTGAGGGGTTGTGGGGACAATCTGGATATAATTTGTTTTCTGGTACATCGGTTTGCATATGCTGTTAGTTTGCATGTAAGCTATTGCTTCGTAGAAAAGAGAGGGACGGATGGAGAGAGAGGGAGAGGAAGAGAGAGGGAGGGAGAGAAAGGGAGGGACAGAGGGAGGGAGAAAGAAAAACTAAAAAAAGGAAGAACTGGGAAGGAAGAAAAAGAAAGAACGAAAGAAAGAAAGAAAAAGAGAAAGAACAAAAGAAAGAAAGAATAAAAGAAAGAATAAAAGAAAGAATAAAAGAAAGAATAAAAGAAAGAATAAAAGAAAGAGGGAGGGAGCATAGATTCTTTCAAGTTTTCAGCCTATTCTAAACTTGTGAACTACAATCTGCGATACTAGTGAAACATGATTGATCATCTTTCTGCCCTGTAACTAGGTCATACTTCAAAGTACGTCCGTGCCCGTACATGTAATCTCAACATGTGAGCATTTTCACCCAGCCAGGCGTCCCCGGTATTTCAATCTTGATTTGACTCCCGTCCAGAGAATGTTTAAAAGATGCAGACCTCATAGAACGATAGAGTGAGGGATAGCTACAGCAGAGGAGGGTCAGTAGAAAGAGTGATAGAGGGATTCACGTATGAAGAAAGCAGAGGTCTACTCTGTTGTCACACAAATTCATTGACAGTCGCCTATATTCAACTCTTGATTTGACTTCTTTCAGGAAATACTAAAGTAAGAGATCTCATAAAACTATAGAATGAAAGATAAAGAGAATAGAGTGATAGAGAAAGACATCGATAAAGGAAAGGACTTTCACACAAAATTTATTGGGAGTCGTCCTTGGCATTTTAATCTTGATTTGACTGTTATCCAGGAAATATAATATAGATACAGAATAGAATGACAGAATGAGGGATAAAGAGAATAGAGTGATAGAAAGAGACATGGACGGAGGAAACAGGTCTACTTTGTTATCACGCCTTGATAGCCACAGGATAGACATTTTGTCCCCATTCTGACGTTACTAAGGTTTCAAATATCGCCCTCTGCCGGAGCCACGAATGTCAAGCACGCCAGTTCCCACTTTGTCGCGCCAAATGATACACGCGGAATCTGCGGCCGACAATAAGTCAAACGTTTCAGTCCTGTGAAGGGGCCGCGTGCTTCACACTGTAACAGTGTCAGAAGTGGCTGGTGAACATTTTCAAAATAATCTGAATTCCAAATATTTTAAAAAGGCATCAAATGCAATTTGGGCATTTAAAACTGCAGAAACAAGCCCCACGATCAGTCCTTTATTTTCTGGGTGGTACCCTAAACATCAGCCCAGGGCCCTTCCAGTAGCCATTTTCCGTCAGAATTTGGGGAATTTTTGCTCCATAAGGGTCAATATACATTGGGATAGCGTAGTTTCAACTCAGTATGTAGATAAATGACTAGAATACTGACTTTGAAAAATCTGGTTTCCAAGTCCTAAAAACTGCCCTTTAAATGAGACTGTTTCAAAATGTTCACAACTCAAAATCCACGTGTACGTGCACAAACTTTTAGCCTCTCTCAGTCTCAGACTATCTAATGGTAACCAAAACCAAAACACCACGTATGCTAAACCATTCAAATGACCGCTGACCTCAATTCAGGGTCATTGAAATGATCCACAGTCTGATAAAAAGTCACGTTGACAAGCGAAGTAATCCGTAATATAAAATGGTGACCTCAAAAGGGCTGGGACATCGCGACACAAAACAGTTGTGCATTGTACATTGGCTAAAAAGCATACTTGTCGAAATCTTCCTTTTATTACGCTGTCCAAATAGCTAGAAATTTTACTGAGGTTTAAAGGCGCAGTTTTTAGGGCTTGGAAACCCGTTTTTTCAAAGTCAATATTCTAGTCATTTATCTACGTACTGAGTTGAAACCACACTTTCCCAAATGTATATTACCATGGAGCAAAAATTCCCCAAATTCTGACGGAAATGGTTACTGGAAGAGCCCTGGGCTGATTTTTAGGGTACCACCCAGAAAATAAAGGACTCATATTGGGGGCTTCTTTCTGCAGTTTTAAATGCCCAAGGTATGAAATGCTGATTTAAATGTGCTAATGTGAAGCAGTATGTGTCAATATCACAAATATTGCCTTATTCAGAATGTTTCCAGTCTTGTTGCCCTAGAAATTGCAAGTAATATAAAGTGAAAGTTTCTTTTGATTAGATTTCTTTGAAGTCAATGTTGTATTTGATATGCTTGTTATTCTTTATTGAAGTAATGCTGTAAAACAAGAAATGATGTTTGTATAATGTAAAAGGTTCTACAAAGGAATGAGAAAGAGGATGTGTGCATTGGTTTCACAGTTTACATAACCACCTCGTAATTTGCTCGTGTTGGGGCGCCGGAAACAAATACCTGAAACATGATCACATGTCGGCGCGATTTTCTGTAACTTGTGACGGCCTGCGATTCCATGCGTTCCTTTCCGAGTAGAGGCTCTGATAGGGGTTTTAAAGCACCCTGTTTGGGATTATATCATTTACGTCCTGTTATTCCTTATCTAAGTCTTTGGCTATTTTAATGTTGCATATTGTATTGATGTTATTGCTATTCATGAAAGGATGGCAACATAAGTGTTATGTTTCTATTGTAAGATGCAGTTTTAATTTGGATGAAATTAAGTATTAAGACGATCAAGAAAATACTTGAAAACAGACAAGGATTTGAAATTACATGACCGATGAATTAAAAGTGCTACGATTGTAAGAAAAAAAGAAGAAGACATAGCGACATTTTTGGGAACGAGAATTTCGGACGACCCTCAGAATAACCCCTCTCCAAACTCGGTCCTTGGCTGGTATGATGCAAACCACATTTCCGCCCGGCCATGCTAATCCTGTGTGTTTACGTTGCTACTCAATAGATCCGACCCGGCTTGGAGAGTGCACGAACTTTCCGGCTCAGTTTTCACGCGTGTGCCGCACTACAAACCGGTTTTGGTAGTAGTACGAGACTAGCTGCCTCTAGTAGAACTGTGTGCCAACGTGCGCTATGCGGTAGTGCCGGTTTAGTTTCGTGAGAATGCCTCGTGAACACGTTTCCTAGTCGGTAGACAGCTGGGTTGAGGCTTCTTCTGTGAAGAGTTTGTGTAAAGAGAGTGGTGTCTACTCCGTCAATACAAGCCGGTGTGGTCCGACAGGGCAGGACAAACACAGGGGGAGCGCGAAACAAAAAAGTCCGCCGGCAAATCGTCAGGCCCGCTGGTTGGCCTACATGCGAAAGAATACAGCGTGTTTGAACGAACAACATCGCGGGGCACGGTCGTCTGACACCCCGGGTGATCGCGCACGCAAGCACGTAACCGGCGAGGTCAACCTCTCCCCCGGCTGGAGATTTTCTGAGAAAACCGCAGAAGCAACATGGCCGTGGTTTTGTGGAGACTACGATGTTGGGTTTTGGTTTGGGTGATTTATACTGGCTGGATGCTGGGGTTGGACGCCCGCCATGGCGGCTTGAGGGCTGCAGACGACAGTTTGCGTCAGGGTGGCGGTGATGGCGGGAGGCTCCTCGCACGTGTCCTGACGGGGAGGGCGGCTGACCTGGCCCGGGGGACGGCGGAGAGGGTCAGGCACGCCGGGCGAGCCCACCACCGCCCGCCGGGAGGGAGAGCTCGACCCGCTCGGGAGGGAGGAAGCTACAGGCCCGCCGGACCGTCCGACAACTTCCCGTCGGGAGACGGCGAACTCCGCACCGGCAAGGAAGACTTCATGACCCGGCCAACCGTTCTCCCAGGACAAGGGGTAAGTCACTTTTTTATATACACTTGTCGAAGTACTTTTCTGTAAGTATAAAAGCTAAAACATTCCAATAGCAATTTAATAGGTTTCAGGGACTTAAAACAATATCAATAGCTGTATTCTAGTACTTTTGTGTGTACAGGTATACTGTAATTCTATTCTAATTTTGCAAAATAATAGGAAATATATTCATGCTCTCTCCAGATACCTAAAGAAACACAACTTTGTTCAAGTTAGCAAACGTTTAAAGAGGGGCCATGCATGGACTGTACATATGTAGACAGCCGCTTTGACTTGAAACGAGACCTTTGCTTTGTAGCTTGTACAATGGCGACCGCTGTCTAGGCAAGACCGGCATTCGAGCAAAGTGACACAAAGCTTGGCCTCACAGATTCGTCAGGGGCTAGGGTCCCACAAAAGACCAGACGTCGGCAAATATACAAAGGTTGCGCGAAGCTGAATACACATAGGTGCTATTCACCACAGTTTGCATATATGCCGACCCCCGTCTCAAATAAAAACAGACTAGTCAAGTTGCTAAAACATACAAACGCATTCCTGTTGGCATCTACCATTCTTGTTACAACAAGCTGGATGCTATTCTTGTTATGTGACGATGTAAACTCCCTACACGTTCAATGGTTTGAATTGTTCCGTTTGAATGTTAAGACAATAGAGGGCGATTCTATGTCTATTTACACATGCAAGACACAATATTAGCTTATTATTAAATTCCCATCAATCTGATAAAATTGCAGATGAATTCATGTCTTGTTTGTGTGGGATCAACCAATGAATAGTATAGAAGGAAGGAGAATACGGTGGAATGAATATTCTTTTAAGTATTACGAGCGGAACAAAAATGAAACAGTTTTCAAGACAAGCCTTACGATTAACGAAATATGATTTGAAAGTTTTTCGTATTCCAGACCGCGTTTTCATGCACGCATGCACGCACATACACACGCACGCACGCACACACGCACGCACACGCACACGCACGCACACACACACACACATACACACACACACACACACACATACACACACACACACACACACAAACACACACGCGCACACACACACACACATACACACACACACACACACACATACACACAAACACACACACACAAATACACACACACACACACACACACACACACACACACACGCGCACACACACACACACGCACACACACACGCATCGTCCAAGCAAACTCCCAAGTTACCGTCCGTCCATGAACGTTATTTACACAATGTACATGTTTTATTTACATATATCACATAATTTGTTAAAGGAATAAGATTGCCCCATTTCATTCTAACATTAACGTCTCTGTAGAAGTCTCTGTAGAAAATCGAATAACAGTCTATGTTTTCAAAGTACTCCTTTTTCTTATATAATGACCAGGATTTGTAAATAGAATATAGACTAATTGCTATCATGTGTACATTTCCTTGGTTTTTGATCCCGTCCCTAGTAACCCATCTCTGCCCTATCAGCCCCATGCTGACCCCGTCACGCTCATATCAGCCAATTTCCAGATAAGCCATTGTTGTGATAAGCGTCTAATCCCTCGTTACGCTCATTTGTGGCGGCACCCTGTCTTCTAATGGAGTACCGGGGAGACTATCAACTAACGCCTCGTCTAGAACCTCAAAGTACACACTAAAGACACCCATGAAGCGATTTTAAAGGCAACCAGTGCAGTTTTTAGGGCTTGGAAACCCGATTTTGCAAAAAATAACTTAGTACTTATCTACATACTAAACAACAATGTCCCAGGGTATATCGACATTCATGGAGCAAATACTAGTATGCCCAACAGTCTGACGAAAATGGTTACTAGAAGGACCTGGATTGCTTTTAGGGTACCACCCAGAATATAAAGGACTGATCTTGGGGCTTGTTTCTGCAGTTTTAGATGCCTAAAGTATGAAATACTGATTTAAATGTGCTAATGTGGGGCAGTATGCGTCAATATTAGTGAGCATTTTATTGCTACCAATACATAATACCGTAGTTTTTGTAATAAAATAAAAAAAAACTGTTACTAGTACGTTCCATTCCCGCTGTAACAGACAGAAGTATACCCCTGACGAAACTACCCCAGGGTATAATTTCCCAGAGGTACAGTTTTGCCTGTTACACCGCGGAAAGCCCGGTTGGTCTTTTATCATTCGGTCAACTTTCCTTATTGTGATAACAGAGAACAAGTACTTCCCCTGTGTCTGTTTCCTGTTTGCCACACTACTTATCCATGGATCGTTCATCAGACGGTTGTGTCCTGAAGGACGGTATTTAGTGCCGCTAAAGTGTGGGCACAAGTCCTCCTCTCCCAGGCACCAGCTGCGTAAACTGTAGCCATGACCTTGAAGCTAAGACCTTCGAGAGGCCACTCTTTCATCCAAACACAACGACTACACTGTTCTGGTTTAGCCTGGGAGCCATCCGTTGCTTTCTTTTTTACTTTGTTAGGCCATGTTGATTTGATTATATGGATGACATCCGCGCGTGCATGCCGTTTCCAAAAACAAAGTTTTCAACCATACTGTAAATCGTACAAAACAGTTGCAAAATGAGCAAATATATGTATATACCGTAAGTTGCAAAAAGAATATCTAAAAACGATACCAAATTACCCAATGTCGTAGAATCTCAAAATCCAAAAAAAAAAAACAACGAAAAGTAAAGAAATAAATTTGAAGAGTAGATTATTCGCCAAACCATACTTTGTGTCATTTGTTCAACCTTCATGACCACGTAGATTTCATAATGAAAGCAACTTTTTTTTTTTTAAGGAAAACCCCAGTCAGCACAACCAAGGAAATGGTACCATTAGGGTCCAAATGATTTTAGATTTCCCGCACCTCAGCTCAATCGACGAATTCTTTTTTTATTAGACACATTTTCTCCCACGTCGAAGTTTTATAACAGCGACCAGCCTAAAAGTCAAAGTTGGGTCCGAGTGTGGATGTACCCGTCACTTCGCCTACCATTGTTTACATGTACACATAAGTGGACAAAGAGGAAGCAGGGGCATGTTTACCGTCATGTCACATGGGGCGATAGGATGTTTAGATAAACAGTACAGTTGATACATCAGCCCAGGGGTGGGAGGGGGGCAAGGTGAGGGCCAAGGTCACACGGGAACAGGCTGATGAATTACTGAGAAAATACACCGGTATCAGCCGACTGTCAATCACAATTACGAGTTGAACCAATGATAGAACGGCAATAGATGGTTCAACCAATGAAAGAGCTGATGAATTACTGAGGAAAGATGTATATCAGCCGACTATCAATCACAATTAGCAGTTCAACCAATGATAGCTCGGCAATATGTAGTTCAACCAATGATAGCACAGCAACCGGTGGTTCAACCAATGAAAGAGCGTCTGCATGCCTGTCAGATATTTCAATTTTACTACGTTTCTATTCTGCAATTCTATGATTGGACAGAGACGGGTTAGGCTATGGGATCAGTCCAAAACTTCCGCCTGTTTTAAAAGTGCATGCAGAAATTGACTACATGACTAGATTTTGTCGGAAATCGTGAGTTAGCCCCTGCCAGGCTTCGGGAGACGGCTGGACAGAGTAGAAATTGGCCAAATACTATTAGATAGGGGAGTTGGTCCGCTATTGAGAGTGCAGTTCGGGTGCGGCAAACTGTATTACCTAGCGGACCACCCCACCTGGCATGTTATCCCTCCCTATTTGGCCAAGTTCTGCTCTTTCCAACCGCCTCCCGAAGCCTGATAGAGGCTAAACGGAGTAAGTTGTACATAATTGCTCTGAGCCATTCCAAAATTTGTCTCAAAAAAACATCGTTTCGTTGATAACTTCCCATAGCGCTCTAACTAAGGTGTCGTGATGTCCTTAATCCAGCTCAAAGAATTCAACTTCCTCTCAATAATAGTCTTCCGCTGTGCAGTAATCTTTTAACAATTACCGTACATGTAACGTTACATGTTGTACCGCCTAAGAGTAGACGTTGTCAGGAGTGAATGTCTTGTGTTACTGTCTTGAGACGTTGCAGGTTCTTGAGACGACAGACACAGGTGTCTTGTATCTGTAGCTGGGAGGGGAAGGTTGGGGTTAACCTCCAAACACACGCGAGGGATGGATGTTAGAGGTTGTCGTCTGTCTTGTCAATTTGTTGTCAGTTCGAGAAATAGCTGTGTCTGTGGGGAGGGGGGCGTAGGGCAAGATTTCATAACTTCATCATTTTAAATTCTGTCATCAACGAATATAAAAATACGAAAATAAATACACAACGCAGAAGCAACGGATGGATTATCATGGCATTTGATAGGTGGTTAGATTTTGATCTAAAATTATTTCATTACCTCCATGAAAAATGGAGGTATTGTTTTTGGCGTCTCTCTCTCTCTCTCTGTGTGTGTGTGTGTGTTTCCGCACATTTGTAGTCAGCATAACTTCATAACGCCTTTATGGGTTGTGATGATATTTGGTATGCTGGTAAGTCTTAGGAAGACGAAGGTCAAGGTCAAATATGGGCCTCCTGTTGGATGACCTTGGTACTGCAGCAGAACTTCCGGTTTTTGTATAGTTTTTTTTTTAAACTACAGTGATTTGTCAACCTCTACGTTGTGACAGGCATGTACATTACGCCCCCTGACGCTATGCATCCTGGGAATGAGCAAATGGTGAATTAATGGCATTTTCCTCACACCGCCCTGAAGGCCCAGACACTCCGTAGGTTAAACGTCAAACTTGATTTATCTCAACCACTGCAAACTGGTACAGATCCGACCCAATGCAGAACCAACCGGATTATCTATAATATACAGAACCGGTCCACAGTGTTTACGCAGGTGTGGTATCTCTGTCTGACTGACGCGAACATAAATGTTTAGGTTCCTAGTCTGTCTTTATCATAAATGTTGAAGTCTGTAGGGATGGGAACTCGATCTAGTCCGCCCTGTGAGTTACTGTTGTAGTCGGTTGTTTGGAGACCGCCTGCCTTTGTTTGGAC